TATAAAATGAAATGAATGTTTTAGACGTATACTCAAATAAGGTAAGTAGGTAGTAAAGTATTAAATTAAAATGACCCCAATGTTTGTTTGACAGAAAAGAGAACCAGATGCCCATGCTTAACCACAATGACTAACTGCAAATGTAGGTTAAAGCAGGCTCGTATAGCGGTTACTAGTGTCCGAAGTACCCCTTTCTTTAGAAGTTGGGCGGGGCATCTTGGATTTTCTCTTGACATCCAGATGGAGGTTTTGTAACCCTCAGATAGCAGCCTGGAGGGAAAGGAAGGAAGTGAAACAACATATCTTCTGTCTAGAACGGAATTCTCTTCCTGCACATAACAACAGGGTAGTCCATTGGAGTACACACCGAAACTGTTATGGATGCCCTAATTATAACTTCCTAGGAGGTTGAACTGGGTTTCTGGGTTTTGCCATGTGTGATTAGGTAGGCAGCCATGATATGACTCTTTAGTCCACAGTGTTAATAATTTCGCCTCACAAATGCTAAAAACAATGGGCAGTGAACCCATGTGAATTTCTCCCAAAAAATCCTTTTAACAAAAAGCTATTTTGCACAGATAACTAGTAAATTGGGCTACCCTCCGAATAACGGTCCTAAATTATCGAGGCAGAAAATATGCCCTAACAAGGCCTCAGTCACGTGTCAATTGCGCACTTCGGTCGACTGCTGCCACCTCGGAGAGTATCCCCCACGCCGCTCATGCCGCGTGGATTGGGCTAAACTAGATGGCTGGGACTCACAAGCAGCAGCTACCGCATCTCCTGCAGCTTTTAGTTTAGCCCTAATCCACGTGGCATGAGCGGCATGGGGGATACTCTCGGAGGTGGTGGCAGTCGCCGGAAGTGAGCAATTGACACGTGACTGAGGCCCTGTTAGGGTATATTTTCTACCTCGATAATTTAGGGCCATTATTCAGAGGATAGCCATAAATTGAAAATTTTTTTTTTATTGATCTCCATTTTTAAAATGTTTGTTTCAAAACATATATAGATATACTTCTTCTTCGCGTTCGGTTTCGTATGCTCAGAACAAAGTCTTGTTAACCAACATAGGACTGGTACTATTAACCACACGACGCTGATGAATATGTTGAGAGGGGAATCTGAGCACCTATGGATGTTTCCGGAGTGCTGTGAAGATAATCTAACTCTTAACTCACAACATGAGTCATGTCTTACATCAATTCACCACCACGTGGTGCAGAGCCGGGCCAGTCTATCTGCCTGCTCATTTCCCGACACACCAGCATGACCTGGAGAAAATATCTAAAGGATGCTAACTACCCGGGACCTCTGAAGTGATGCTTGCCACTCTGCACTAAGCATGTCTGTCTTCACCTTTCTCAACATGCTCTGTAAGTCAGTTACAATCACGGCATGTGTGTGCAGCTGATTCACAAGTAAGGAAGTAGCAATCAGCAAACAAGAACAGTGAGACATTAAATGGAAGGTGTTGTCCAAGGTCTAAAACAAATATGCTTTACAAAGAATGATCAGATTTAAAAGGAAACCTCTCTAAATGCTGAATTAATATATTTACATCTGGCTGTGCATATAAAGAGTCATTTCAAAAGAGTCTCATGCAGTTGGAGGTGGGGGAGGGGTTACGTCTCAAAAAGGCAAGATATAGGGTAATTACATGAATTATTTAATGCCAACAACTGCTGACAATATTAACTGTGAATTCAAAAAATACTAGTGTTCAGTGCATTTTGACATTGTACTGTCCTTGCCAATCAATCAGTTTATGGTGTGCTATCTCCAGATGTAATATTGGCTGCAATAAATCTGCAAAGCCCTGTACCTACCCTGGCCGCACACTGGCAGACTGCTGTTTAACGGTCAAGAACATCTGTATGTCTGGCCTAGTATCGTGGATGGCAGTCGGATGTTTTAGCAATTTATTTGTTTCTAGAAATAGTTGGCTATTGCATTTTCTCCCATATCTGGACTGAAAGTAAGTAGTTACGCTGCCCAGCTTCTGAGCTGAGTGCATGGTGCCACACTATGAGCTGCAGATTTTATTATGTTGGGTCCTCTCGCGATTAATTGTATATGCAACCGCAGTTCTGTTATAATTACTGCTTCCATAAATAATGAAATGCAATTCTAGTGGTGGACTGTTTGTGTTGGCACTTCAGATGACTGTATAATACAACAGTCTGCATAAAATATGTCAGATTTGTAAAACAGATGTACACGGAACACTCAGGTTCTGAACTGTTGCCTGATGGGCAGCAGTGGCTATTGTCATTCCGTGTTGATCTAGAAGCTCTTCAATGTCATCAGTCCATCTCTTCTAGTTCAACCTCTTGCTTTCACACCAAATTTTTCAATGTGTAGTATTTGCGTTCATAGTTGTTATGGCTGCTGCATTCTTCTAGACAACCAAACCATTTTGTCTTCTGCTTCTCAGTCAATTTGCTCCATGGTGTTGTTCCCACAGTCTGTCTGATAATATCATTTCTAACTTTGTCTCGGATGGTCAGTTGGCGGCTTTTCTCAGGTATCTCATTTTTCAGATCTTCATTTTATTTAAGTTAGCCTTTGATACGGTCCAAGTCTGGCACTGGTAGCACAATGTTTGTATGACTGCTGTTTATAATCTGTTTCTTGATGCTCATACTTATGTATAAGTGCCACAGAACACCATACAGTAGTATTGAATATACATACACATAATTTGTTTAAATGTTGCTGTTAATTTCAAGACGTAATTTTTCCCGTCCTGTTGAATATTTTTGTGGCTGCTCCTGTTCTAATTTTTATTTCTATTTAGCTGTTTACATTATTTGTTGTTACATATCCGAGACAGAAGACAAATATGTCTTATTTTATTATATCCCACTTTACTTTGGTGGCCTCTCCTTAGTTTCATAATTCTCTCCTAAGTTTCGTAATATTTTTGTGGTTGTTGTTGTTGTGTGTATATCTAATCAACATTTACATCATTCCAATTACAGCACTTGTCAGTTTTAACAGGGGCTGCCCAGTTGCTGAGGAGCAAGATTCTATCCGTAATGACACAGCTTCATTGACAAGAAGCAGTTTGAAAAAGAAAGATTGTCGTTTGGTAACAGCTATGGTTTTAGACAATACAATCCAAATATTCTACATCCAAAAGAAATATTATTCATACGCTATACATCGGTACACTGTAACATGTTATAGTATGGGTATTAATATATTTAAAAATATTGTATTATTTTAAGTGTATAATTTTGTAGCCTTAATTGGAATTGTAATGGTTTGGCCTTCACTGCATGTCAAGTTTATTATGTGTTATAGTAGATAGAAACTTCGGCCTCATCTGTGTTTGGAACAAAATATTCATAGATGAGAATAGATATTTCAGCCTCACACAGCTGAACTTATTGATTTGTCACTGTAAAATATAATAGAAACTTTATTTGCATCTTTGTTTGGAACAAAGAATTCATAGATGAGAATAGAGTAATATGTCTTATCTTAACTTTGACATTATGATTTGCTAGAGTAGATCAGAATAGCAGTTTAGTCCCAGCTGTGTTTGGAACAAAGAGTTCATAGATGAGAATAGAGTTGTTGACTCATCTATATTTCTAGATTATAATTTGTTAGTACAGATAAGAATAGAAATGCAGCCCCATGTATGTTTGGAAGAGAGGATTCATTAAAAAAAACACAGAGATTTTAGCCTGATCTACAATTAGACAATGTCCGTGTTTGAACACTTGCCAACACTAGGACTGGACTCTGTAGTGGCTTCCTTGGGAGATGCCCTTACAGCTTTTCCTCCAACACAGTACTTGCTGGTGTTGGTCAGAATCTGCACGGAGTTCCTCCTGGACAGGGTAGTGCTAGTCATCTTGTCCTTTCTGCTGGGGGCGGTGCTTGTGCTCGTCACTGAGGCGTTCATCTTCTGGAGCTACTTCAACAAGGCTCCCATCTTGCCACCTCCAAAGTGTGATGATGTTCCCACTCAGCTGCCAGAGGTCAGTGTTTGTTTAATTTTGATGTGTCTATTTTTTTTTTTGCAGATAAATTTTGTTCTGTCTTTTACATTTCTTTTACACGTTCTGTCTTTTGTTCTGCCCTTTGAACCGTTGTGACCTATAAAAAAAATTAAAAAAAACCAAGGCTCTTATAATTTCTAATTTTTTGATATTCCTGAAAAAACCTTAAAGAAACAGTCATTTTTACATGTCTCACAAAAATATTTAACAAAATAAATTTATTGTGCAAAACAAGAAAAAAGGCTATACACAGTAAGGGGAGTAGTACACGAGAATGAATGCAGCGTAGAATCAGCTAGCTGACATCTCTTGGGGACTGTCAACTAATTGTAGCCTAACACTCGACCTCATGACCCAGTTGCTCAGTTAACACTGTAGCTATAGGGGAACATATGACATAGATTTTACTAGAAATAAAGCTATTTAAAAAAAAAGGGAATACCATAAGTGCTATTTTTAGTAAATTTTGTCATCCCCGTCAGGGCAAACGTTTGTGCATATGCAGCTGCAATTAATTCTGTTTGGCATACGCCTAAAGAATATGCCTCTGTTTAAGTCAGGAAAGGGGATGGTACCAACTGTGTGTGTCTTTTTTGTGGCTGCTAGAGGCAAAAGGTCGGCTCTGTTGCTAAGTCGATGCGAACGCTTCGTAATGCTGGGGTGCTGGGTACGACCCCAGCTGCAGGCCATGCGCCTTGCGTTGGTTTCAACAGTGGTATCAAGGGGCCGACCATCCAGAAAGCAATGGCAAACTACTGGACGTAAATTTGCCTAGAGAAACCACACAACAGCCAGGGGCTGCTGGGGTTGGTTCTGCAACGTTCTGTAAAGGATATGCAACTAACTAACTAACTAGAGGCAAAAGGGTTAAAGCAGTGAACTCTGTTACTTTTAGAAATAGGTTGAATGTTTAAACAACAGATCAACATCATGGCACATGGGTAGTAACCCATAAGTGCTCCACGCTACTTCAAACTCGAGTCCAAAGAATCTCAGCACAGTGCACAGGCTCTGTAGTTCCGTAGAGGATCTTGAAATACTTTGAGTAGATTTTAAACTCCAAATTTTGCCCGGGCAGCACCGATTTCCAACTGCCAAGGGATTTATTTCATGCATAACAATACACACAGGTGTCTGATCATACCACCTAGAGACCAAGGGAAATGACTTAAGTCCACCTGAAAAATCCTAGCCTTCACCGGGACCTGAACCCTGGACCTCCAGCACTTGAGGCAGATGCCATGCCCCAAAACCTCACAGCCCATAACTTGTAGAAGTCAGGCCAGACACTGAATTCAAACCATGCTGGGCTGCCAGTGGGGTCCACCAGTTAGTTAGAGAGTCAGTCTGCATTCTTTGGACACATGATGAGAAGAAGAAAACTGGAGTACATTGTGATGGTAGGAAAGTTACAGGGGAAAAAAATGCAGAGGGACTTTTAAAATGGCTTTTTAAAACAACAGAGTACATTCACATATTTCCAAACAATTGAAAATAATTTCTATTTCAACAGGAAATAAAAAATTCTGACATCAGCAATACCCATACAAAGACTCCCATACATATGAATACAGTTTTCTTTTTATTTTTCTAACTTGTCCTCTGTTCAGTTTGGAGTGAGAATGCAAAATTTCATGAGTTTGGCTTAAATCAAAATATATAAAATGTTGAATAGACCAGTTGTGTTATGTGGCTCAGAAACTTGGAGCACATCTAAAAGAGATGAAGCCTTGTTACGACGAATCTTTGGACCCATCAAAGATGCAAACAGCGGCGAATGGAGAGTGAGAAGCAATAACGAAATTCTGATCACTGGCATCATGAGAGCTAATAGACTGAAATGGTTGGGGCATATTGAAAGAATGTCAGATGACAGAGAAGTAGAAACGCTGCACACCAGGGAGAAGAATGGTCATAGACCACTGGAAGACCAAGAAAACGATGGAGAGATAATATCCAGACAGACCTGAAAACACTTGATGTTACCAACTGGAAAGAGAAGACTAACCAGAGAGATGAATGGAGGCTGGTGATATCTGCAGCAATGAACCTCAAGGGCTCGGAATGCTGAAGAAGAAGAAGAAAGTTAAATAGTTATGTAATTATGGTATTTTTGCTAGTCTATGTTGATGTCAGAAAAAAAAATATTTCTGTTGCCTTTTTTTTTTTTTTGCACAAATTTTGCAGCCTCATTATGATGATGATATAAAATAAAATTACACAGTTTTTGTTCCTGAACTTAGTTCTCCATTCAGTTTGGTGCATAAATACAAAATATAAAAATAATTATGAAGCTATGGCATTGTTAGCAGACTCTAGAAAAGTACAATTCTGGGAAAGGGCACGCTTAATGGGTTTGGTAGTTAATGGGATATTATGCTTCTTCTCAGACGCTCAGCTCTGAACCTGTTTATAATCATTGTATCCTTTTTGGCTTCATGACTTCATTCAGTGTAGTCCTTGGCATCCTGTTCTCATGAATTCACTTTCAGTATCTGTATCATTTTGTCCCACTTGCACACATCTTTACATTAGAATGAATCTCGCTATGATAGTACGCACAAATCTACAAACTGTTTCAGGCTCTCATATTACAACTTGAACACAGCAGTTTAAAACAGAAAGAGGACTGTATATGGCTGAACTTCCTGCTGCAGTTTCTGTTTTCGGAGCTTCGGGATTCATTATTGGTGAGAAGGCAAGTACTGTATTTCTTCATTGTTGTATGTTGTAATCAAGAATTTACATCACTGCACTCAGGGCATTCTTACATGTGCTCTGTCTCCTTCAGAAGCCAGCAAAGAGTTTCCACATTGATGGTGCCAGTGGCGACCTGATTAAAAGTAGGCTTCTAATGATAGCTGATAGTTTACATACCTGTGATCTCTTAAGGAGCGAGACTAGCAGTTTTTGATAAGGGGAATAAATCAGCATGCAGGCTGTAAGACAGCAGTTAGATATTGCACAAAGTAGGTCTTTAGGCTTATGCCTTGGCAAAATTTTAGTCATGTATTTGGGAATCTTTATGTGGGTTTTGTTGATGTCAAAGTTTTTGTTTTTCCCTTTTGGAATAGAAATTATTGTCAAATGTTTGGAAATTTATGTATGTACTTTGTGATGTTCAATTTCTTTAAAAAAAATAATTTTGGAAGGAGGAGACATTTAAAAAAAAAAAAAATAAGAATGGGAATCTTTGTATATTCTGTGTTGATGTAAGAATTTAAATTATCACATATTTCTGGAAATTTAACTGTGTGCTTTTTTATTGTCAGATTTGGTTGTTGTTGTAATTCAACATAGCGTTTGAAGGAATATAATTATTATTTATATTTTTATTTTTATACGTATGGGATTTTTTGTGTGTGCCTTGTTGACCTCCCAACCCCCTTATATTTAAAATATGTTGAAAGAATTGTTTTTATATATTTTGGGAATTTGTGTATGTTTCTTGTTTTGTTTCTTATTTTGGAAGAGAAATTACTTTATTTGTTTGAGAAATAGCCACTGTGCTTTGTTGATGTCTGAATTTGTTTCTTATTTAATTTTGTAAGATCAATTATTCTCATATGTTTAGGAATTTGTGTGTGTTGATGTCAACATTTATTTATCTTTGCAGGTTTTTGACCAAGAAAATCCAACTAGAATTTGAAGAAGTTCTCAGATCAAGAAGTGGGGTTCTCGTGGATGAGCTGTTTGTAAGTACAGATGGCCATGGCTTTTGAACAAGAAAGAAACATTTAGACACTATGGTCAAGCACAACAAAGGAAATCAAAACGATGAGAGCATTTCCTATAGCAACATACAGATGTGAATCATGGACTGGTGCACAGTCCTTAAAGATAAAAATTAGGGCTTTTTAACTGAAATGCTACATTATGAGAATACTATGGGCTAAGAAGAAAACAAATATTGACATCCATAAAGATCTGAACATTAAGGAAGATTGGCTCGTTAGCAGCATCTTGTCTCAGAAACTTAAAGATTTTGGCCATATCAAGAACCACGCTGGACTGGAAAATTAACTCTTTGAGTCCCAGAGGGTTTAGCATCACATGCCCAAGGGGTAGTCAACAGAGACATAAAATTAACGCATTATGCGTTCATTCGGCTTCTAGGCAGTAACCTATGAACGTATGATGCGTTCCTTGGGACTCAAAGAGTTAATAGTACTATTAATGATGGATATGGGCTGACCAGTAAAAAGAGCATAGGATATAGGAAAGTGCATGTGTCGGGAGAGCTGGTGAGAAACTGAGATTCTTTCAGGCAGGTTGTGATGAGTGTGACATTGTGCTGCGTACAGTCTGTTACACGATGATGATGGAGGGCAGAACCAGTCAGGCCATCAATGTAAGACTTAGGGAAAAAAGTTGAGGGTCTTTTTACAAGCCCGTGGGCATGTGGGTTAGCAACTGCCCTCCTTCATTGTAGCAATGTTCCTATTTCCTCTCGTGAATATTTTTTCAGTATTGTTTTTGTTTGTTTTTTGGGCTGTATATTGTGAAGTTTCTGCTGCTTTCTACTGAGGTAGATCTCCATGTGAGTTCCTGGTCCCCATTTTGCAGGGGAAAAGAATAATTTCATTGCCCTTCTATCAGTAGTGTCGTAAAAGGTGACTATTTAGGGTTTTTTACCTTTGAAGTCTGAGTGCCAGAAGGATTTATGGAAGGAGTTTGGAGAAATGTTGGCAGCAGAAGAAAGAGCATCAGTAAGAAACTACTACAAGAAAGTGAGAGGGATAAGACAAAACAATGTAGAACATAATCCAACAGAAATACCAAATGATGAAAGAGGACAACCTATTCTAGACCCTAAAATGATTCTAGAGAGATAGAGTAACTGTTTTAAAGAACTGCTCAGTTTCAAGAATAAAGATGACAGTGCAAACAACAATGCTATAACAAACACAACAGAAAAGACGAATACACTATAACTAGCAATTATTTTGAAGGAAGTAAAAAATATAATAAAGATAACACCAAGGCACAAAGCGACTGGTAGTGACAATAGTACCAAGGCATAAAGCGACTGGTAGTGACAATAGCACGAAGGCACAAAGCGACTGGTAGTGACAGTAGCACCAAGGCACAAAGCGACTGGTATTCGCAATAGCACCAAAGCACAAAGCAACTGATATTGACAATAGCACCAAGGCACAAAGCGACTTGTAGTGACAATAGCACCAAGGCACAACGCGACTGGTATTGACAATAGCACCAAGGCACAAAGCGACTGGTAGTGACAATAGCACCAATTCACAAAGCGACTGGTATTGACAATAGCACCAAGGCACAAAGCGACTGGTATTGACAATAGCACCAAGGCACAAAGCAGCTGGTATCGACAATAGCACCAAGGCACAAAGCGACTGGTATTGACGATCTCACTGCAGAAGCCATCAAAGCAGCTGCAGAAACAAGAAAAATGGGTCAGGCAAATTTTCCAGACTACCTGGCTAGAACAAGAACACCGGATAACCGGCAAACAGCAATAATTATACCGATATGGAAAAATAAATTGAGTAAGACAGAGTGCATTAATTACAGAGAAATATCACTATTAGGCGACACAGGGAAAATGTACGCCAAATTAATTGAAAGAAGATTAACACCATTAGTAGAAGAACAACTTTCAGAAGCCCAGATGGGTTTCAGACTTAACAGAAGCTGCACAGATGCAGCATTTACATTAAGAAAGTTGACAGAAAGAGCGATAGATTATGATAAGACATGCAAAATCGCATTTACAGACCAGGAAAAAGCATTTGACAAATTGGAAAGGAATATGTTGTGGAATTGCTTAAGAAGATATGGAATCAGCAAACATCTAACTGAAGTGTGCAAAAGCTTATATAAATCAAGTAAAAGCTGCACACAAACAAAAGCAAGTACGTCGCAACCTTTTGAATTAAATTCAGGAGTAAGACAAGGATGTGTGCTATCTCCCCTGCTTTTTATAACATACATCAACAATATATGCAAAGAAGCAAAGAGCGAAGAAAGGGATGATATCTCAGAACTGTTATTTGCAGATGACCAAGTATTAACAGCTGAAACAGAAAAGAGTTTACAGAACCATGTGAACCAAGTCAATACTAAGTGTGAGAAATATAATGTGAGGATAAGCATTGATAAAACAGAGGCAAAGGTAGACAAGAAGAAACCATATCAGTTGAAGTAAATAACACAGAAATAAAACAAACGAGCAAATTTAAATAACTAGGGTCATTTTTCACCTCAGATGGAAGAATGGAAAGAGAAACCAACATACGACGTGCAAAAGCTAATCAGGTTATGGGGCAATTACCATCACTTCTGATGCATAGAAAGATACCTCTGTCAACCAAAGCCAATCTCATTAGAACATTATTTTGATCGACATTGTGCTACCAGTGCTAAACATGGACCATTACTACAACTAACAAGTGAAAGATAATAACAATAGAGATAAGAGGTCTTAGGAGAGCTGCTGGTGTGACAAAAAGAGAAATCAAGACTGAAATAATTTTTTATTAAGACTACCACTGAAACCAGTGATACAGTTCATTAAAGAACAACAAATGAGATGGGTTGGCCACCTGACGAGAATGCCCTGGTACCAAATGCCACAGAGAGCCACGCTGAAGAAATATAATGAACAGCAAGGGGAAGACCACACAAGGGATGGAACGACATCATCAAAAGAAACCAAACATAAATGAACACCAGCTTGTACAATGCATTGGAAAAAGCGCACACACCATCCTTGCACCTCCCCCCAACACTTTGCTGAGGTCAGTGGCGGAAGACAAGAAAAAGTCTTGAGTGCTTCTGCCTGAGAGATGAGGAACCAGCAATATTCTTACAAGCAAATCAGACTTGTAAAACAATTGTGCAACCAAAACTTGAGTTCTTGAATAAGTCTAGTGTCCAGAAGTGGACAAACCATGAGAACCCTCTGCCAGAGTTTACAGCCGTTTAGAGCTAAGATTAAGAGAAGGCTGCAGTGTTGCCAGGTTTCTGCTTTTTTCTTTCTTTCTTTCTTTTTAAATTTTTTTTTTTGGTTTGAAACTGATGCCATGTCAAGTTTTGGATGTTTTTACTGTAGGGTCAAGTTTCTGCTTTTTTTCTTTCTTTATTTCCTTATTTTTTTTTCAAACTGATGCTGTGTCAAGTTTCGCTGAAACAAGGTCAAATTTCTGAATTTTTTCAACTGGATACCTTTATTGTACAGTAGACAAAACAAGGATGTTGCTACAATTAGCCTTTATTAGCAGAATGTCAATAAGAAACAAAACAACTTGCACAAAAAGGAACTGACTCAAAAATGGCTACATTAAAGTATTCAAACATTATGTAAACAAATGATACACATAAAAACAATAATGAATGAAACAGAGTAATATTAAATGACAGAGAGATATTTAGTATGCGATTTTTTTTTTAAATGGTTACATTACAGCATTCACATGTCTTTCTTCTTCTGCCTTTCTATCCCCCAATAGAGCATAGGCCCTCAACCAACTCACGCCAAGTCGTTCTACCCTTCGCCATTGCATGGAGCTCTCCCCATATCCTCCCAATCTTTCTAACCTCATTCTCCAGCTCTCTTCTCCATGTGTTTTTTGGCCTTCCTTTATTCCTATGCCCCTGTGGGTTCCAAAGCAAAGACATTCTAGTTAAGCTGTTCTCCTGTTTTCTCAGTGTGTGCCCTATCCAAAGCCAGCGTCTTTTCCTCACCTCCTGATCCACTGGAGCCTGTTTAGTTCTCTCCCAAAGTTCTACATTAGTTATTCTAATATACCATTTTATTCCCTCTATTCTGCGCAGGCACCAGTTAATGAATGTCTGTAATTTATTAGTAATTGCCTTGGTTGTTCTTCATGTTTCCGCCCCATACAATAGTACTGATTTGACATTAGAATTAAAAATTTTTAGTTTAGTATTTCTTTTCATTTCTTTTGACCTCCACAAATTCCCTAGTGCTATGAAAGCCCCTCTTGCCTTTTGTATTCTAATTTTAATATCTCTATCAGTTCCTCCATCTTTATCTACATTACTGCCTAAATAGGTGTACGACTCCACGTCTTGGAGTGGGGTGCCATTAAGAGAAACCACATTACTATTTGCCTGATTTATTCTCATTATCTTTGTCTTTCCATTATGGATTTTCAGACCAAGCTGCTGTGATCTCGCATTAAGTATATTTAATTTATCTTGTATCTGATTCTGTGAATGGGACAGAAGAGCAATATCATCAGCGAAGTCCAGATCATCAAGCTGTTTTGTAGGGGTCCACTGAATTCCATTCTTGGTGTTAGCAGTTACTGTTTTCATAGTCCAGTCTATAGCCAGTAAAAATAAGAGAGGCCACAAAAGACATCCCTGTCGCACACCTGTTTTTATTTCAAATGCATCTGTTAGCTTTCCCTAATGAAGAACTCAACATTTCATGTCTTTATATGCTGCCTTTACTAAGTTGATAATTTTCTGTGGGATTCCATAGTGCCCCATCAATTTCCAGAGAGATTCCCTATCAAAGCTATCAAATGCTTTTTCATAGTCTATAAATCCAATGTAAAGTGGTGAGTTCAGTTCAATGCTTTGCTCTATTATAATACGTAATGTGGCTATCTGATCAGTACAGGATCTGTTTGACCGAAAACCTGCCTGCTCATCTCTTAGCATTTTATAAATAGCATCTTTTAATCTTTCCAAAATAATTCTACTTAATATTTTTCCAGGAACTGACAGCAACATAATTCCTCTATAGTTTTCACACTCCTGTAGATCACCTTTTTTGGTCAGTTTCACAAGATATCCTTCTCTCCAGTCTGCTGGTATTTCTTCGGTCTCCCAGACTTTACTGAATAATCTATGTAGCAATTCTGTTGATGTGTTTATGTTGGTCCTGATGGCTTCAGCTGGGATACCATCTGGGCCTGACGCCTTTCCTTCCTTAAGAAGATTTATAGCTTTTCTAATTTCCTCTTTGGATGGTATCTCACAGTTGATATCCAGTTCCATTTCTAAAGGCTGGATATCTGGGGGAACCTCTGGGCCTGGTCTGTTTAGAAGCATTTCAAAATATTCAACCCATCTGTCCATTTGATCTTTAGTGTTAGTAAGTACCTTTCCTTGAACAATTTTTGATTGATCCAGTTGGCTGACTATATTTACCTACTAATTTTCTTGTGTTACTGTAAAGTTCTCTGAGGTTTACTTTTGCTGCTACTGTCTCCGCTTCTTGTGCTAGATCATTTAGATATTTCACTTTATCTGCCCTAATATGCCTCCTAACTTCCTTGTTGGCTTCTGTGTAATTCTCCTGAGCTCTAGCTTTAGCAGCTCTAGTTTTGCTATTGTTTAATTCTGCCTTTTTACTTTTCCTATCTTCAATTAGTTTAATGGTTTCTGGTGTTATCCATGCTTTATGTTTTCTTTCTTTCTTGCCAAGAACTTCTACACAAGATTCATTCCAGATTCCTTTGATCTGATCCCAGCAGACTTCTGTGTTGACATCTTCAGCTAACTGCTGCAACACCTGGTACTTATTAGAGACCGTAACTGAGAACTGTTCCTTAATTTCTTTATCTCCGAGAAAGCCTACATTATATTGGTTTCTATGATTATAAGATGTTATATATCTTTTTAGTTTCAACTTGATTTTACTTATCACCAGGAAATGGTCAGTAAATACATCGGCACTTCTGAAAGCCCTAACATCGTAAAGGGATCTAAACTTTTTGTTAATACATATGTGGTCAATTTGATTAGTTGTCTTATGGTCTGGTGATTCCCATGTTGCCTTGTGTATACTTTTATGGGGAAAAATGCTTCCACCATAACATACTGATTCACATGTGTACACTGGCATATAGTTTATGTTTTTGAAATTTTGTCTAGACTTTAATAACTTTATTGCAGTCTCCTTATTTCAAAAACCAGCATAAATAACACTTTTACATCTGTTGCTGGAGACTGAGTACCTCCAGATTTGTATGTGGTCCTGAAACTTTGGTCATTGACATTTAAGTACTGGTATCATGTAGAAATAAATAATGTATTGTAATTTTTAGGTTTTTTCTTTTCCAGTTACGAGACTACCATCTAGGAGACAATTTTCCGGTGATCACAGGTATATCTGTGGAAAGATCTGATGTGTTCAGGGACACGATACAGGTCAGAGTTTATAGGTTAAATAGTGTGTATTGTACTGAACAACTGTTCCTTCCTCATTGTGATTTAGTTCTGAGGTGCCCCATTATGAGGAGAGCTAATTGACTGCAGCTCCCAGTATGGTTCTGGTGCCCCATTATGAGGAGAGCTAATTGACTGCAGCTCCCAGTATGGGTCCGATGCTCCATTATGAGGAGGGCTAATTGACTGCAGCTCCCAGTATGGGTCCGATGCTCCATTATGAGGAGAGCTAATTGACTGCAGCTCCCAGTATGGTTCTGGTGCCCCATTATGAGGAGAGCTAATTGACTGCAGCTCCCAGTATGGGTCCGATGCTCCATTATGAGGAGGGCTAATTGACTGCAGCTCCCAGTATGGGTCCGATGCTCCATTATGAGGAGAGCTAATTGACTGCAGCTCCCAGTATGGGTCCGATGCTCCATTATGAGGAGGGCTAATTGACTGCAGCTCCCAGTATGGTTCAGGTGCCCCATTATGAGGAGAGCTAATAGACTGCAGCTCCCAGTATGGTTCAGGTGCCCCATTATGAGGAGGGCTAATTGACTGCAGCTCCCAGTATGGTTCAGGTGCCCCATTATGAGGAGAGCTAATTGACTGCAGCTCCCAGTATGGGTCCGATGCTCCATTATGAGGAGAGCTAATAGACTGCAGCTCCCAGTATGGTTCAGGTGCCCCATTATGAGGAGGGCTAATTGACTGCAGCTCCCAGTATGGTTCAGGTGCCCCATTATGAGGAGAGCTAATAGACTGCAGCTCCCAGTATGGTTCAGGTGCCCCATTATAAGGAGGGCTAATTGACTGCAGCTCCCAGTATGGTCTAGGTGCCCCATTATGAGGAGAGCTAATTGACTGCAGCTCCCAGTATGGGTCCGATGCTCCATTATGAGGAGAGCTAATAGACTGCAGCTCCCAGTATGGTTCAGGTGCCCCATTATGAGGAGGGCTAATTGACTGCAGCTCCCAGTATGGTTCAGGTGCCCCATTATGAGGAGAGCTAATAGACTGCAGCTCCCAGTATGGTTCTGGTGCCCCATTATGAGGAGGGCTAATTGACTGCAGCTCCCAGTATGGTTCTGGTGCCCCATTATGAGGAGGGCTAATTGACTGCAGCTCCCAGTATGGGTCCGATGCTCCATTATGAGGAGAGCTAATTGACTGCAGCTCCCAGTATGGTTCCTGTGCCCCATTATGAGGAGGGCTAATTGACTGCAGCTCCCAGTATGGGTTCGATGCTCCATTATGAGGAGGGCTAATTGACTGCAGCTCCCAGTATGGTTCCGGTACCCTATTATGAGGAGGGCTTATTGACTGCAGCTCCCAGTATGGTTTCGGTGCCCCATTATGCTTCCTCCGTCCCAAGCATGTCGTAGGAGTTGACTAATTGGCTTCCTTCAAGGTCGCAGTGCATCTAAGAGGCAAGGAACTAACAGTCTCCATACAAGTAAGCAAGATTTGCAAGTAGCACTCATGATTTGAAACAGGACTGGAGTCCAGAAGTAGACAAGCAGCCAGAACTTTTACAGCCAGTGAACACTAGCAAGAGAAGAGAATCGACTGCAGTCACTGGGGCATATAGACAGAATGACAGAAGCTAAGTGTGACTAGTAAGACCAACCCCCATTTAGAAAAAGTCTTCCACAAGTATGGGGTTTCATGGCCATTGTTGCCATCGCATGTATTTACTGTATTTCAGCTCTCAACCTTTCTACAGTTTAAAAAATATTATTTATATTTCTTTTCCCTTCCTGATTTTCTTTCTCTCCACTCAACATAGTCTATAGCTTTTTGTTTTCATGAATCTACCAAGTATCTATATCATTTGTGTTCCCCGATGTAATTAATTATTAGTCATTGGGGCATATAGACAGAATGGCAGATACCAGAGAGAGAGTTTCTGTTCGAAACTAAATTGTTAGAATAATTAATGATTGTATTCACTTGTTTCAAAGACTCTAGATCTGAAGGCTCGTATAACTTACGATGGAGGTTTCCAAATTGCTATTGATGCAGCCTTGCCTTTTCACCGCATGGCTTTTGTGTCTGTGAAAGTGCTAAAACTTCGAGGAGTTTTGCGTCTGCAGCTCACTCAGCTACCATTCAGCCATTGGAGTGCATCATTTTATGAGGTAATTTTCCATTTTTCTTTTCAAAACTGAATAATAAATGTTTTGCTATGGTAGAAACTGGGAGGGTAACTAAGTCAGTAACCACACTATTCACCCTCTCCCCAAAGCAAAAAGCTGGCACCATCAAAATAAACGAAATACCCCTGAGAGATGATAAAGAGCCCACATACCTAGGAGTCACATTTGATGACAGGTTGACATGGAGAAAACATATCAACAAGGCAGCAACCAAAGCCAGGAGGAAGACAGCAATACTAAGAAAACTAAGTGGAACCACATGGGGAGCAGATGGGAAAATACTCAATAAAGTATACAAGCAGAGCATACTTCCACACTTGGAATATGGGTCAACTGCATGGTGTTCAGCATCTAGTACCACATTAAAGGAGTTAGACAAAGTGCAAAATCAAGCGCTCAGAGTCATCACAGGAGGGATGAAATCAACCCCCATATTAGAAATGGAGAAAGCTGGGAAAACACAGGCACTGAGAGAACGCAGAGATACAAAGTTGCAAATACAAGCTGAAAAGTTCCTCAGTATGCCAGATCACCCGATGGAAAATAGATTTAAGAACCTAGCCTTGGGACGGTTTAAAAAGAAGCAGCTTTATACACCAAGCAAAAAGAATATGTAGACAAACTCCTGACCTTCCAGAAATTGGCTGCCCACTAAAAAGTATTCCGGAACAAACCCCATGGAGAGAAAAATGTAAACTAACGGTACAAATCCAGACAAATGTGAAAGGGATATTTGACAAGAAAGAGCAAGATAGTGTACAACGCAAAATGGCCACCCTCAGTTATATTGATGAAGAATACCCACAAGAACAATGGGTCAGAGTCTATACAGATGGGTCCGCAGAAAGTGCAGTTAGAAATGGTGGTGCTGGAGTGTACATCGAATTCCCAGATGGTACTAGGGATAAGTCCAGCGTACCAACCGGGAAGTACTGCCATAACTACGATGCAGAAACCCAGGCTATTAAGATAGCTACAGAGAAACTGCTAAATACCAACCTTGGCTCACAGTATGTGGTAATGCTTACAGATGCTAAATCAGTACTTGAAGCACTCCAGTCTAGGAAACTACCAGAATTGCAAACACTGCTGACACAACTCAGCGTTCAGCGAAGAGTCGTAATGCAGTGGATACCGTCTCATTGTGGAGTGCCTGGAAATGAGAAAGCTGATCAACTGGCAGGGGAAGGTGCGAAAAAAGAGCAGCCAGATGTACCAGTCACATACCACCAAAAGAAAAGAATCATTAAATCGATCAGGAAACCACCAGCCCCAGCACAAGACGACTATTTTATTATGGACAGACCAGAACAAGTCATTATCTTCCGCCTCAGAACAGGGCACAACCGATTACGTAACCACATGTTCACAAAATTCAAGATAGGTGTATCAGCCATGTGCACCTGTGGAAATGTGCCCCAGACCGCAGAGCATGTACTCCAGGACTGCACCGAATTTGACACATTAAGGCAAACCTTTTGGCCAGAAAGAACAACAGTGGAACGTAAACTCTATGGACCACTGAATGAACTAACAACGACAGTGAAATTTATACAAGAGACAAAACTGCTGATATAGATAACTTATTTCAGGCGAACGAAAGAAGAAGAAGAAGTAACCTTCTCTGAACCAGTTCTAAATGACATAGAAGGACAGCAAATCAAATGGTTTGCCCAACTAGTGAGAATGCCTTGTCACGCCATACCTTGCAAGGCATACACTAAAAGAAAGGGACATAGAGCATGAGGTAGACCAAGAATAAAATGGAAAGATAACATCAGAGAAACTCTGGAACAGCACAAAGTTGAGGTAGCCAGAAGAGCGAGAAGCAGAAGCTTAAATCGCTCAAGACTAGAAGCGGTACAAAAGGGAGTGAAGAAGGAAAAAAAGGGAAATGATTTGGCATTGTTTTGATAACTTGGTAACTTGGTGACATCGGGCAGAATTGATCGGAAAAGAGCAGAGAAAAAAGTAGACTAAGAGACATGATGCCTAATGGTCTGAAGCAAAGGCACGGTGGAATATCATTAGTTGAATTTATTTAAAATACAGTGACTTAGATATGTAGAGAGACATGAGTGCCTGTACAACTGCATAGGGAACATGATGATGATGATGTAAAATGGTTAGTTAATCAAAATATCAGCTAGTGATATGTGATGGTAACTATCATTAACTGATAATGCAAACCCACTTAGAGAGAATTCCTTGTGCTGCCATACCATACACCAAAGGAATGAAGGTAAGTAGAGGAGCTCAGGGCAGACAATAAACAGTGTGAAACACTGATGTCAGAGAAACTCTACAGCAGTATGATGTGTCTGTGGTAGAGGTGGCCAACAGAGTTTCATCTTAAACCTTGTAACATCCTCAACACCCAAAGTGATACAAGAAGTAGCCAAGAGACAATAATATCAAGAGTATGTTTGATAGTAAAGTAAAGGACCCTTTACTCATACCTTTATGCATATTGGGCATATTAGGCTAGACCTATATTTTATAGACCAACTGACACTCAGTGGGTGATTTGGTCAGTATCTTGCCAGCCGCCTTTACATCCCAGGACTTTACCTGGTACTTGCTCAAGGCTGGGTCAACCTAAGAGCCCAAGTCATTTTTGAAACAAGTTTGACTCCATTCGGATTCAAACCCACAATCTTCAGATTAGCAGGTGAACATCTAGCCACTACACTACATCAGTTCCTGAGCATGTATGATGTTGATTTATTAACTGGTTATAAGAAATATATGTGTAAAGTCTGGGAGTTGTAATTGTAAAGTGTATGTGTGAATTCTGGGGGATGTATTTGTAAAGTGTATGTGTGAAGTCTGGGAGTTGTAAAGTGTATGTGTGAAGTCTGGGAGTTGTAAAGTGTATGTGTGAATTCTGGGGGATGTATTTGTAAAGTGTATGTGTGTCACAACCCTGTGAGTACAGTCAGTGGCGGAATGTACCACACCGTAAGGTGTGCGTGTTGAGATGACACCCCAGGGTTGACACAAAGGTCAGGGCCGTGACTGGTCAAGTCTGTTCTGTTATTGCACGGCGAAACCAGCGCTCAGGATAAAGCGTTTGGCCACGGCAAGAAAGAGGGAACTGTGTTGTGGACACATCTGCAACACGATTACCGCTTTTGGGACTGAGCTGGTGAACGGGGTCAAGAGACACGAGGTAGAGAGAACAGGGGACATTCGGTGTGCGACGGTCAGAGAGGAAGCAGACGTTTAGCAAGACAGTGATAGTGTATTAGAGTTAGGATATTTCTGTTAGTGACTGCATAGTTTATGTACAGTGTTCTGTTAGAATAGGATAGTTCTTGTGTAGGGTATTTATACATGTTCTGTGAGAGAATGTCTAACCTTGGCACTCTGACCCTGTACTAGACAGAGGCTGTGACAGTTTGGTTGGTCAGTGTGTCAATAGTTAAGAGCGTATCTCGTGACCGTGTGGTTTGGACACCAGGAGATTGCTTGTGGGACGTACTGGGAGCGAGGCGACTGTAAAGCTCATTCGGCCAGAGGGTCCAGGCAATAGGTGGCCACACAGCGGGAAGTCAACTGTCTATTGTATTACCTGTACTTACAATAAAGATTGTCGTGTGTGCTCTGTGTGCGTTCGGGTTCAGTGTGTGTTAAAGGTTAGTCTGTCTGTCATAGGCTCAGTTACGAGCCACGGACCAGCAAGGTCACCCAGAGGTCTGTGACAATGTGTGAAGTCTGGGAGTTGTATTTGTAAAGTACATGTGTGAAGTCTGGGAGGTGTAATTGTAAAGTACTTGTGTGAAGTCTGGGGGGGGGGGGTGTATTTGTAAATTGCATGTGTTAGGTCTTGGAGTTGCAATTGTAAAGTGTATGTGTGAAGGCTGGGGGAGGGAGGGGGGGGTGTATTTGTAAAGTACTTGTGTAAAGTCTGGGGGGGGGAGGAGGGGTGTAATTGTAAAGTGTTCGTGTTAAGTCTGGGGGAGGGGGGTGTATTTGTAAAGTGCATGTATGAAGTCTGGGGAAGGGGGGGGGGGTGTATTTGTAAAGTGTATGTGTGAATTATGGTGGGTGTATTTGGAAAGAACATTTGTGAAGTCTGGGGGGTGTAATTGTAAAGTGTTTGTGTTAAGTCTGGGGGGGGGGGGTGTATTTGTAAAGTGCATGTATGAAGTCTGGGGGGTGTATTTGTAAAGTACTTGTATGAAGTCTTCGGAGGGCGTGGGGGTGTGTTTGTAAAGTGTATGTGTGAGATAAATGTCTACAAATGTGCATGGTTATACCTGCAGGAACCAGAACTTGAACTGGATGTCACAGCGCAGCTCGATGGCCGTCCTATGCCCAAGCTGAAAAATATAATTGCAAATCAGGTTAGCTGTACTTTCTTTCATTTCAGTTTTAAGAGTTTCTCAGTTCAGTTTCAGGTCAGCCTGTCTGTTCCAATTCAGTTTCAGTCTCTTTCTCCTGTGTGGATTCAGGGTTCCCATTTTGGGTTAGGATTGGGGGGGGGGGGGATTGGGGAATAGATCCCCTGTCTCCTTAACAAGCATGTCATAAGGGTTGACTAATTATGTTTTTCATTCGAAGTCAAAGGGCATCAGCTTGAGAGGTGAGGAACTAACAGTCTGCATACAAATAAACCTAATCTGTAAAATAGATGTGCACACAAAACAAACTCTAGTTCTGAAAAAAAAACCAAAAACTCAAGTTCTGGAACAAGACTAAAGTCCAGAAGTGGATGAACAACCAGAACTTTCCGCTAGATTTTACAGCCAGTGGACATGAAGAAGAAAAGTCTCTTTCAGAGTCTGTCCTTTAATTTAGTTTCACTGCAGAACATTCCTATCTGTCCAGTTTCAGTTCACGGTCTCTGAGTCCAGACTCTTTTTATTTTTCCTGGTAATATTAAGTTCGGAGTCTCTTTTTAGTTGTATACTGACCAGTTAGTCACTATATCTTTTGTGTGTTGTAAGAAATGACTGACAAGTTATTGTTGTGTTTCATAAGCCCACACACACACACACACTAGCCATTATGTGACATCTTCTGTTGTAAGAAAAGATTGTCTGTTGTATGTTGTAAGCCATACATTATCTATTAAGTATTGTAATCTGTTGTATGTTGTAAGCACAGACTTGGCATTATGTGACATAATCTGCTGTATGTTGTAAAAGTCTGACTAATGATTGACCACTTATCTTTTGTATGTTGTAAGCACAGACTTGGCATTATGTGACATAATCTCTTGTACATTGTTTGTTTCCAGATTCGCAAGATCATCCGGAAGAAGCACACTCTACCGATGTACAAGATGAGATACAAGCCATTCTTTCAGCCTCGGCCTGACCCCGGGCTAGCCATGGACACACGTATTCACATAGATGGGGCCGAACTGGGCTGTGGCATTCTGGAGGTGACGGTGGTGGAAGCAAACAGGCTGCCAGTGGTTGTCAAAGGGGCTAAGGTTTACTGTACCGTGTCTGTAGGTATGTACTTCTCCTTCATTCTTCTCCTTCATTCTTCTTCATTCTTCTTTTGTTAGGAGGGTGTCACAACTAACTTGCACTTCCGAGGTCAGTGTGTCCATCTCTAGCATGCTTTTGTGTACAGTTTACTTCTTCTAGAAAGACATTTCTTCATTTTCCTCATCATCATCATCATCATCTTCTTCTGCTCTTTCTTCTTCTTCTTCTTCTGCTTTTGTTTCCTCTGCTTCTTCTTTTTGCTTTCCTCCTCCTCTTCTTCTTTTTCTTCACTGTATTCTTTTACTTCTCAATTTGCTTCATTCACTTTTACAAGGGCGGTTATTACTTTGTGGTAAAATTTACATCTAGACTGATATCTATATCTTTCGGACCAGCACATCTAGTTATAACAATTCATTAATTAGTTACCTTTTAGGACATGCTTATGATGCGTCAACATCTGTGGCTTAGGTGCTGTGAACACACTTCGTCATGCTGGTGTGCCAGATTCAATCCCAGATGCAGAGTTTGGCAGCAGAACGTCTTTCATTGGTTTCCACAGTAGTACTGAGCGCTGACCATTACCGAACGTATAGTTTGTCTTGAAAAAACAACAACCCACCACAGCCAAGAAATGCTGGGGTTGGATCTGCAACATCCTGTAAATGATACACAACTAACTGTCTCACTAACCAGCTCTCACGCCTCGTGCCGGCAGTAATGGTGACAATATGATGTTGACTACCACCTATCAAGTGTCTATTGTTGCATAAGAAAAGGATTTAAGCATCATGTGCTTGATCCGCCCTGACATAAAAAGGGTCTTGTGTCTTTCAAATTTTTTTTTTTTTAAATTAAAAAAAAATATATTTGCAGATGAGCTACCATGGAAAGAGCAGATGTTGAAGGAGAGGAAGACCCGGGTGATGATGAATGTAGAACTGGTGAAAAACTCTACTGACCAGTCTCTGGGAATGATGGTGAAGGATGTAAGTTAGACATATGTTTGATATTTTTGTGGAGGTTTTGATTGGTGTGTTATAAGAACAGGTAGAGGGATTGTCTGATTCTTGGTAGTAAAATAATGCATAAGTTAGATGTTGTAAGGACCCTTTGGGAGTGAGTAAACAGTGCATAGTCACACACAAACTATCCCTGTCTGAAGAGAATGATGCAGTGAGCAGTGACCAGGGGATCTGGCCGGTGCTGAGCACTTGGGGATGGGTGAGATAGTCATACAGTCAGACTGTTACTGGTACCACTGGAATTTGAAATCTGCACTTGCTGATGATAGGGACGGAGCACTCGTGGGAATTTTTAGATAGTGCTTGTTAGGAGGGCAGTAAGCATGTTCTTTTTTTCCCCCCTAAAAATTGGATTCTAGAACCCACACAGAAATATGTTGTTTTATTTGGTCATTTCTGCGTTATAATATATTATCATTTGTGGGGAGATGGGATTTGTAATGTTTTAGTTCTTCTTCTTCTTCTTCGCGTTCACCAGCTGTAAACTCTGGCAGAAGGTTCTAGTTGCTCATCCACTACTGAACTGCAGTCCTGCTCCAGAACCTGAGTGTTGTGTGTGCATCAGTTTTACAGATCTCATTCTCTTGAATACAGACTGTTGGTTCCTTGCCTCTCCGGTAGATGCACTCCGACTTCAAAGGAAGCTCCCCAATTAGTCGACTCTTACGACATGCTTTTGGGGAGGCAGTGGGTCTATTCTTGTTGTCCCCACAATGGGGCCCCGGAACCCACACGGGGGTATGTTTTAGTTAATTATTGTCAAGCTGGCATAATTTGGCCTTTCAGCCAAAACATACTTTTTCAGGCATATTTTTTCACTGGTTTAGCCTTCTCGGTTGGTTTCATGGGACATGACATAGCCTTGTTTGTGTGGTGTCCTCATTATCTACAGGTGTTTTCCCTAGAGAACCTGTCCAGGGCAGCCATGCACAGACTGCTTGGGCCTCAAGAGAAAGCAGTGGCAGAATATGGGCATTCCCTGCTATCCAGGGAGGCTTCCATAAATGCAGAGCTAACACATGACGCTCTGATCCTGGACTCTCGCAAGGAATCATCTCCTCCTACACATGACTAGTTAACCTCATATATGTACACTAAGCTTCTAGCTCATCACCGGCTGAGATCTTTAGAAATCAACAGGAAGTGGCTCATAGATCTGAGACTTCGATGATACGACTTCTAAGACTGGTGTGTCACACAGTAGGTCATTTGTTGGTTAGACATCTAAAACATTGTTCAACACATTTGATTTCATGAAACACCAGTTTATTGCCTTTTACGTCATGCTTCTTTGGTGAGTGGTTTTTTTTGGGGGGGGGGGGGGGGGGGGGGGGATTTTGATGTTTTTCCTCCATCTCAGATTGGGGAACCAGATCCCATGTGGGTATGCCAGAAAATGGCAGGAACCCGTGAATTCAAAGATGAGCATCTTATCCACTGGATAGGCAGTTGCTGTGCTTGTGTGTTAATGGTCCCCATATATACCTACCGATAATTGTTACATTTGTTCCCAGGAGCTGTTACCAGACAGGCTTCACCCAGTAGTGATGATTGGTGAGGTCAGCGTGGGGTCTCCAGCACACATGGCTAACATTCAGCAGGTGAGATGGTGATGGTTTCATAGTCCTGTTTCATTGTCATCCTGGTGTCTTGTTTCATTGTCATCCTGGTGTCTTGTTTCATTGTCATCCTGGTGTCCTGTTTCATTGTCATCCTGGTGTCTTGTTTCATTGTCATCCTGGTGTCTTGTTTCATTGTCATCCTGGTGTCTTGTTTCATTGTCATCCTGGTGTCTTGTTTCATTGTCATCCTGGTGTCCTGTTTCATTGTCATCCTGGTGTCTTGTTTCATTGTCATCCCCTGGTGTCTTGTTTCATTGTCATCCTGGTGTCTTGTTTCATTGTCATCCTGGTGTCTTGTTTCATTGTCATCCTGGTGTCTTGTTTCATTGTCATCATGGTGTCTTGTTTCATTGTCATCCTGGTGTCTTGTTTCATTGTCATCCTGGTGTCTTGTTTCATTGTCATCCTGGTGTCTTGTTTCATTGTCATCCTGGTGTCCTGTTTCATTGTCATCCTGGTGTCTTGTTTCATTGTCATCCTGGTGTCCTGTTTCATTGTCATCCTGGTGTCTTGTTTCATTGTCATCCTGGTGTCTTGTTTCATTGTCATCCTGGTGTCCTGTTTCATTGTCATCCTGGTGTCTTGTTTCATTGTCATCCTGTGTGTCTTGTTTCATTGTCATCCTGGTGTCTTGTTTCATTGTCATCCTGGTGTCTTGTTTCATTGTCATCCTGGTGTCTTGTTTCATTGTCATCCTGGTGTCTTGTTTCATTGTCATCCTGGTGTCCTGTTTCATTGTCATCCTGGTGTCCTGTTTCATTGTCATCCTGGTGTCTTGTTTCATTGTCATCCTGGTGTCTTGTTTCATTGTCATCCTGGTGTCTTGTTTCATTGTCATCCTGGTGTCTTGTTTCATTGTCATCCTGGTGTCTTGTTTCATTGTCATCCTGGTGTCTTGTTTCATTGTCATCCTGGTGTCTTGTTTCATTGTCATCCTGGTGTCTTGTTTCATTGTCATCCTGGTGTCTTGTTTCATTGTCATCCTGGTGTCTTGTTTCATTGTCATCCTGGTGTCTTGTTTCATTGTCATCCTGGTGTCTTGTTTCATTGTCATCCTGGTGTCTTGTTACATTGTCATCCTGGTGTCCTGTTTCATTGTCATCCTGGTGTCTTGTTTCATTGTCATCCTGGTGTCTTGTTACATTGTCATCCTGGTGTCTTGTTACATTGTCATCCTGGTGTCTTGTTTCATTGTCATCCTGGTGTCTTGTTTCATTGTCATCCTGGTGTCTTGTTTCATTGTCATCCTGGTGTCCTGTTTCATTGTCATCCTGGTGTCTTGTTTCATTGTCATCCTGGTGTCTTGTTTCATTGTCATCCTGGTGTCTTGTTTCATTGTCATCCTGGTGTCTTGTTTCATTGTCATCCTGGTGTCTTGTTTCATTGTCATCCTGGTGTCCTGTTTCATTGTCATCCTGGTGTCTTGTTTCATTGTCATCCTGGTGTCTTGTTTCATTGTCATCCTGGTGTCTTGTTACATTGTCATCATGGAGTCTTGTTACATTGTTATCATGGAGTCTTGTTACATTGTCATCATGGAGTCTTGTTACATTGTCATCCTGGTGTCCTGTTTCATTGTCATCATGGAGTCTTGTTACATTGTCATCCTGGTGTCCTGTTTCATTGTCATCATGGAGTCTTGTTACATTGTCATCATGGAGTCTTGTTACATTGTCATCCTGGTGTCCTGTTTCATTGTCATCATGGAGTCTTGTTACATTGTCATCATGGAGTCTTGTTACATTGTCATCCTGGTGTCCTGTTTCATTGTCATCATGGAGTCTTGTTACATTGTCATCCTGGTGTCCTGTTTCATTGTCATCATGGAGTCTTGTTACATTGTCATCATGGAGTCTTGTTACATTGTCATCCTGGTGTCCTGTTTCATTGTCATCATGGAGTCTTGTTACATTGTTATCATGGAGTCCTGTTTCATAGTCATGTTTCATTGTCATCATGGAATCTTGTTTCATAGTCTTTGTTGAGTTTTATTTCAATAGCTAATCCCCCCCCCCCCCCCCCCCCCCTCAAAATTTGTACAAAAAGAAACCCTGAGTGTGTTTTGGGGGGCCAATTTTAGCAGAAGAAAGAATAGACTCACTGCCGTCCTAACAAGCGTGTCCTAAAAAGTGACTGATGAGTCATATTTCCATCAGAGTTGGACAGCATCTGTCTAAAAAGTGACTGATAAGGGGTATTTCCATCAGAGTTGGACAGCATCTGGCTGAAAAGTGACTGATGAGGGGTATTTGCATCAGAGTTGGACAGCATCTGTCTGAAAAGTAGTAAACCAGCAGTCTACATACAAATAAGCTGGATCTATAAAACAGAAGTGCACACAAAACTCAAGTTCCAGAACATACCAACGCCTAGAAGTGGACAAATGACCGTAACTTTCTGCCAGAATTTGCAGCTGATAAACACAAAGAAGATATACAAATAATCTCATCACAGTAACTGAATGTTACACCAGGAATATGTAAATGTGTTCACACCCAGATTGGATTTTTCTTTCTGCATTTCCCACATTGAATGTTTTGGAAGACGTTTGGATCTGTTGTGTGTGCTCTATCTGACCTGATGTATAAGTTTGGGTTTTTTCCCCCTCTAGAGTTGTTTTTAATGCTGTCTCTTTATCCCTTGCTACATGTTGTGGCTCTCTGTGGTGGTTGGTATTGGTATCAGGGCATTCTCGTCAGATGGCCAAATGACTCCATCATATCACAATCAAATATACCAGTGATTCCCAAACTGAGCGCCACCGTTCACAGGGGCGCCGTGAAATATTCTAAGATACACAGTTTTTTTTTTTAATCTCTTACATACGAATAGTCATACTTTTATTTAGGTTAGGTCGCCATGGAAAATATTAATAAAAAAAGGTGTCGCGACTAAGAAATGTTTGGGAACCACTGACATATACTAGAAGTATTATTTTTATGGGTAGTCTCGAAATTCTAAAATTTTGCCAGGACAGTGGCCTGAAAATCCTCTGGTTCTGAGATGTTGCTTATCTGCCATCACCATCGTTACTTATCACAGATAGGCTGCTAAACCGGCATTGCTGCATCGGCCAGTCCCTGAGTTAATGGCACTGATTCTGTTTGCACCACACCACTTGAGCTGTATTTATCTAGGAGCCCCAGAATATGATCATATTTACTAAAAGTAGCAGGGAAGTGTGTGTGAGGGGAGGGATGGAGCTATTTTGTATTTTTTTGGGGTGCTCATTTAAGTCAAAAAACCTTTGTAATTCCCATCGAGCCTTTAGAGGTTGTGTTCATGGGATGTGTTACCGTTTGAATTATTTTTTTTTTAAGGCTATTGACTAGGAATTCAATTTTCTGCACCATTTGTTTTTTTATTGACTATTCCCATTCTTTTATTGTTTTTAAACTATTAAATATATACAGTTTAACTTATTGAGTCCCAAGGAATGCATCATACGTTCATAGGTCCCGCCTAGAGGCCCAATGAATGCAAGATGCGCCGATTTTACATCTCTCTTGAATACCCCTTGGGCCTCTGATGCTAAACCCCTTGGGACTCGAAGAGTTAATACGATAAAAATAATAAGTGACCTAAGACATATTGGAGTAACTGGCCAGATTTATATACTATTATTAAGTTAACACTAGTTAAATCATTCATGGTTTGGTAATCATATACAGTACATGATAATATATGATGTGGTGGTTGGGACTGAAAGAGTTAAGCGCCCTTTAGTGTGTTTAACTTGTTGCTATGTGCTCAGGGATCTCCATGGTATTGCACACTTCTTTGAGAAGATAAGACCTGTACTCTAGAATCACATGCTAACCAGCTAAAACCAATCACTAGGAAATATCCAGGGAAGTAAAGACAGCTGGCAGAAAATTGACCACATCATTCAGTAAGTGTTGATTCATCTCTAAAGTTAGAGTTAATGCCAATTATTCATTAATGCTCCATGGTGGGAAAAGAATCCTTTACTTCTGTGGTAGTATGCATGTATTTGTTCTGTATGGCATTAAATGACTAGAGCTTTTTCTAGTCAGTATGGTGAATAGGAAGGTGTACTGTTTTTAGTCTTGGCAATTTTTTGCATCTGACAAAAATTAGCTATGACATTTTCCTCTGTATGTAAACTGAAAGGAAATAGTTTTGTTACCCAGCTATTGGATTGAGAGCAGTAATTTAACTGTGCCCAGCATGGTTTTTATTGTGAACAACTGATTCAGAGATTTTGGCAATCAGTTTGTTTCCAGAGAACTGGTGATGCCTTATGCGATGAACTGTGTAATCTGTTGTAACTGCTGCTTGCATCAACGATGAACTGTGTAATCTGTTGTAACTGCTGCTTGCATCAACGATGAACTGTGTAATCTGTTGTAACTGCTGCTTGCATCAACGATGAACTGTGCTTGCATCAACTTGCATCAACGAACTGTGTAATCTGTTGTAACTGCTGCTTGCATCAACGATGAACTGTGTAATCTGTTGTAACTGCTGCTTGCATCAACGATGAACTGTGTAATCTGTTGTAACTGCTGCTTGCATCAATGATGAACTGTGTAATCTGTTGTAACTGCTGCTTGCATCAACGATGAACTGTGTAATCTGTTGTAACTGCTGCTTGCATCAACGATGAACTGTGTAATCTGTTGTAACTGCTGCTTGCATCAACGATGAACTGTGTAATCTGTTGTAACTGCTGCTTGCATCAACGATGAACTGTGTAATCTGTTGTAACTGCTGCTTGCATCAACGATGAACTGTGTAATCTGTTGTAACTGCTGCTTGCATCAACGATGAACTGTGTAATCTGTTGTAACTGCTGCTTGCATCAATGATGAACTGTGTAATCTGTTGTAACTGCTGCTTGCATCAACGATGAACTGTGTAATCTGTTGTAACTGCTGCTTGCATCAACGATGAACTGTGTAATCTGTTGTAACTGCTGCTTGCATCAACGATGAACTGTGTAATCTGTTGTAACTGCTGCTTGCATCAACGATGAACTGTGTAATCTGTTGTAACTGCTGCTTGCATCAACGATGAACTGTGTAATCTGTTGTAACTGCTGCTTGCATCAACGATGAACTGTGTAATCTGTTGTAACTGCTGCTTGCATCAACGATGAACTGTGTAATCTGTTGTAACTGCTGCTTGCATCAACGATGAACTGTGTAATCTGTTGTAACTGCTGCTTGCATCAACGATGAACTGTGTAATCTGTTGTAACTGCTGCTTGCATCAACGATGAACTGTGTAATCTGTTGTAACTGCTGCTTGCATCAACGATGAACTGTGTAATCTGTTGTAACTGCTGCTTGCATCAACGATGAACTGTGTAATCTGTTGTAACTGCTGCTTGCATCAACGATGAACTGTGTAATCTGTTGTAACTGCTGCTTGCATCAACGATGAACTGCATATCAAGTGTCAGACTGTTTGTGATTGCAGTTCCCTGTGTCCTGCTTTATGCATGTGTGTGGTGTTGGATTTGCATTTAAAACTGCCGTCTGTGCCATTTTGCTTTCACATGGGACACTAGTAGACATTCTGTGTGTTGTGTGTGTGGGGATCTTGCTGCAAAGGATACACATGGTCTCTACAATACTGGCCAGTTTTTATGTTCAGGAAAAGAGGAAAATCAGGCCTGACTTTTATTTATTCTGCTGGTGACACTGGCCTGTGACTCTCATGCCTTCCTGCAGTACAGTATAGCACTTTCGTTGAGAAAGATGGAATAGTTCTAACAAAAAAATATCTGGGAAGTTTTAAAAAATTTTTTTTGTTTGAATTTGTACTGTATCATTTACAGGACGCTTCTAGACCCAACACCAGCACTTGTTGGCTGTTTGTGATTTCACTAGGCAGTTTTAATTTCATAGTTTGCCATTGCTTTCTAAATGGTTGACTGTCAGCACAACTGTTGAAACTAACACAAGGCTGTCTGCTGCCTCATCATCAGCAGCTAGAATCTAACCCAGCACCATAGAAATAGAAAGTGCATTTGCAACACCTTAGCCACAGATGATGACTATCAATGTAACGTTGCACATTGCTGATGTTTGGCTCTTTTGTTTTGACACGCACACACACCCAGGGTGATATTTTGACTGGTGTCGCGGGTAACAAGGTCACATCTGCTAAACAAGCTATGAAGAATCTCAAGTGGGCCAAAGACAGGTCAGATGGATGTCTGTATGTCTTCTTTAATTTTATCTGTCCTAATATGTCACATTAACTCATCTATCCTAGCTTTTCCATAAAGTCTTTCTCTCTGAGTCACACTAAGCCACTCTATCCTAGCTCCTACTTTCACTCTTTCTTTCTATCCAGCCAGTTGTCACATGAAGTCCTCGTGGCTCTTACTTTCACTCTTTCTTTCTATCCAGCCAGTTGTCACATGAAGTCCTCCTGGTTCTTAATTTCACTTCTTTCTTTCCCAGCCAGTTGTCACATGAAGTCCTCCTGGTTCTTAATTTCACTACTTTCTTTCCCAGCCAGTAGTCACATGAAGTCCTCCTGGTTCTTACTTTAACTCTTTATTTCTATTTAGCCAGTTGTCACATGAAGTCCTCCTGGTTATTAATTTCACTTTTTTCTTTCCCAGCCAGTTGTCACATGAACTCCTCTTAGTTGTTACTGTCACTCTTTCTCTCTGTCTCAGCCTCTTATCACAATAACTGTTGATCCCAGCCTAGCTCTTTAACTCTTTTTGTCTGTCACAGCCACTTATCACAATAACTGTTGATCCTATTCTAGCTCTTTAACTCTTTTTGTCTGTCACAGCCACTTATCACAATAACTGTTGATCCTATCCTAGCTCTTTAACTCTTTTTGTCTGTCACAGCCACTTATCACAATAACTGTTGATCCCAGCCTAGCTCTTTAACTCTTTTTGTCTGTCACAGCCACTTATCACAATAACTGTTGATCCTATCCTAGCTCTTTAACTCTTTTTGTCTGTCACAGCCACTTATCACAATAACTGTTGATCCTATTCTAGCTCTTTAACTCTTTTTGTCTGTCACAGCCACTTATCACAATAACTGTTGATCCTATTCTAGCTCTTTAACTCTTTTTGTCTGTCACAGCCACTTATCACAATAACTGTTGATCCTATCCTAGCTCTTTAACTCTTTTTGTCTGTCACAGCCACTTATCACAATAACTGTTGATCCTATCCTAGCTCTTTAACTCTTTTTGTCTGTCGCAGCCACTTATCACAATAAGCAGTTCCATTCTTGTTCTCACTTTAGCTCAGCTCATTCATGTATTTGTATATTTAAGAACGTTTGTGTATGTTTGTATGAGTGTATGTTGGTGTACCTATGAGTATGTGTATGAGTGAGTATATGAGAGTAGTTAGATGTAGTTTCCTCTCTTTTGCTAGTTGAATAGCTTGTGTCACATTGTGTCCTTTCTTTGTATAATCCGATATTTATGTGATCTTTATATTGTGTTTTTTCATGGAATTCATGTTGATTTAATTTGATTTGATTCAAAAACCGACATCACAGCACTCCGAGCATTCTCATATTCTCTCTGTCCCCATTTTCAGCAGCCAGTGAAGAGTTCCGATACTAATGGTGCCAGTAGCATTCTGATTAAACGTCCGTCTTGCCTTTCCTCTGAGCTCAAGCATCAGAACCTCTTGTCACTCCCCCCCCCCCCCCCCCTTCATCAATCTCACCAGACTGTGGGGATCCATCTGCTCCTCCGAACTGGAATTCATGTTATCAGAAACAACTGTTTTGGAGTTTTGCACCAAAAGACAGAAATATTGCAAGGTGGCTGGAAACCACACCACAATATGTCATCCACTATTTTAATGACGAACGCAAAGAAGAAGATATTTGTATATGCTCAACTATCTTTGTCTACATTGCTGCCTAAATATTTGTGTGATTCCACCCCTTGAAGTGAGTTTTCACCAAGAGAGATCAGGTTATATTTGCTTCATTGATTCTCATTTCTTGACACAGAATTCTTCATTATCTGTGTCTGCCTTCACAAGGGCAGCTGGCATGTTATTTTGTGGTTTTAAGCTAGGCTGCAGTATCTACTTTTCAGCCCCATACATCTGATTTCAGCTGATTCCTAATTAGTTGCCTTTGCAGACTGCTTTTAAAGGCCTCTGTGGCTTAGTCCTTGCGAATACTTTTTGCCAGGGGTATTGAGATCCGCTCATTCAGGAAGCAATGGCAAACTACTGAAGGTAAAACCAAGAAAGCCAAAAAAATGATGGTATTGGTTCTGCAACTTCCTGCAAAGGATCTGTAACCAGCTAACTGTTAAGGGGACAGTGAACCTGTCCTAACCCCCCTCCTCCCCTCTTTTTCCCCCCAATCTAACAAAATAGGATCTTGGAATCCAAACGGGGAATATTCTTGATCGATTCTCGTTGTCTTGAGGTTGACTTGAGTTGTGTACAATTGTTGCAGAATTCAGATCCAGGTTGAAAGGCCTGGCATTGAGTTGTCCACACCAGCCTCAACAAAAGATGATATATCTCTGGTTCCACAAGTGAGTTATCTGTTGGTTGTGATATCATATCTTCTTCTTCTCCTCCTTCTTCATTTTATTCTTCTTCTTCATCTTCTTCTTCTTTTTATTTTTCTTCTTCTCCTGCTCCTGCACCTCTTCCTCCTCCTCCCTCTTCTTTTTTATTTTTCTTCTATATACATGTATATGTTGTGAATTTTTATCATTTGGAATACTTATCATTTGTTTTACAATTGATCATTTAAATTAATGATTTATTATTAATACAGATTGATCGTTATTTTACATTTAAAACCAATTCTGATTTATCATTTGTGTGATAGAGGTGTTAAATGTTAGCATGACATATTGGTTATCAATGTGAAAGTTTTATTTAAGCAAAGAAGTCATAAACAGTAGATTACCCAACTTATCGCCTCACATACTTGGTGTATGGACGTGCCATTGACCAGGCGAGATCCAAATGATGTCTGTGAATCTGCAACCATGACCAGACTGCAAAAACAGTATGTTAAAAGGGTTGGCCAAACAAGAGCACTATGCAAGAAACCAAAGAAGAGTTAGTTAGTTAGTCCACAGATTATCCTCATTGCACGTCGAACCACTCAGTCCATAAGTGCTCGGATCCCCTCCTCAGTAAATCCTGCAGCGTGTAGTAGCTAACGACACCAGTTCTGTGCTGGTTTATTATTTTTCTTTGACTACCCGCATAGTGTTCTTGTTTGGCGACACCCCATTTAAGATGTTGTAATTGCAGTCTGACCATGGTTGCAGATTCACAGTTCTCAGTTGGTTCACGTCTTAATTAACTCTCTTAGAGCATTCAGTATATCAGCCTGGTCTATGGCTTGTCACCAAAGAAGAATTAGAAACCATACAACAGCAGCTGCAGGATTTACTGTGGAGGGAATCCAAGCACTTGTTCACTGAATGATTTGACCTCCCTTGGAGAAAATATGTCGACTAGTTAGATATCAACATCATGTGTTTACTACAGTCACTTTTTTATCTTTATGTTTTCTCTAGAGCCTGTTCTGCCTTTCTGCATCAGATTGTGAAGAAGCAGTACTTGCTTGTTTTGGTGTGTGCTATGTAGATGCTTGTTTTCTGTGTTTCTGATATTCCGTCTGTCCCACATTTGCATAGGCCACCTCTTATTTCTGCTTTCATTGTGTCTGACAGAACTCTCTGTGACGCACAGTCTTGTCATAGTCATGTCCAAACAATGTGATTACTACTTGTTACTACATGAACAATTATTTGTTACTTATTTCCTAGTACAATTGTCCAACCCATTCATGCTCTGTCCTGCGATGTGACAGCCAGCCTCAGTGTCTCTATGCTCATCGTGCCAACATTCTGTAGCTGACTCCTTTGTCTCTGCATCTCTGGAACACAGCACATTCAGTATGTCTGCCCTGTCCATACTTCTTCCTCTACCAGCCACTGCAGACATGGCCGGTCTGTCAGCTCTCTCATTTCCTTTCACCCCGGCATATCCTGGCGTGTGCAACCAAGATAGTTTCTTCAGGCAGGACTGCTGTCTTCCCATTCTAGTCAGAGTTTGCCAGTTTGGATCCTCTTAAGCATACTCATAGAGTCTGTCACTATCAATGCATGATTTGCTTTCTGTTCTGCCAGCCCTGGCCCCCGTGACAGCTGCTATCTCTATTGTCATGCTAGAAGTAGTTCAATTGAATTACTGACTTTACTGTCCTGTCAGTCCCCTGTGCTGTTTAATCCCACCAAGACCACACCTCACGAATCACTGGTCAAATATGTTCGAGGATGAGAGCCCTTATTTCTGTATTAGCAGCTGTTTGGCTCCATTCTCTACAATACCTGCTCGGGGTTAGGATCTTCTTCTTCTTCTTCTTCTTATAGTCCATGCCGTGCAGCATTGGTAGTCATGTCATAAATGAAACAATGCACAAATTGTTGTTTGTTGGTACAGAAAGCCAGCAGCTGGCACAATGGATGCATGCCTGAGAAAACCCTGGATACTGAGGTGCTCCCAAACTCTAGCACCAACTCATCAGCTCCTTCACAGTTCAGTACAGGGTCACCCAAATTCAGAAGTCAGGTCAAGGAGGTAAGAAAGGAGAGGGCGGAGTGTGAAAGGGGATTTTGCAAAGGATTGAATAAAGGGAAGGGGAAGGGCAGAGTGGGAATGGAGATTGTGCAAACGATTGGAATAAAGGGAAGAGAGAGACTGTGTGGAAGATGGTGGACATGTGTTGTCGTAGGGAGGGGAGAGTCATGATTATGTGGGAGAAAGTGATGAGTGGGAAATAGAACAGAGTCATGGGGTGAGGTTAAGATTGCATGAAGACAGAAGTAGAATGGGAAAAGGTGTTGATAGAAAGTTGCGATTGTATGGAAGATGGAAGAAAAGTGTGTGAGGCTCAAGTTGTGTGGGAGATGGAAGAAAGATGTGGAGTGGGAAATGGAAGAAAAATGTAAGCTGAGCTCAGATTGTAAATCAGATGGAAAAAAGATGTGGATTGGGAGGTGAGATTGAATGGGAGCTTAGCAAGAAGTGATGTTTTGTTGGATTGTAAAAGGGAAGAGGTGGAGATGCAGAATGGTATTGTTAGAAAAAGGATTCGAGTGGAAATTCTGTTGAATATTGAAAGACAGAGAGCATGGGGGTGAAGATAATAAGAAGATAAGAAAAAAACTTCAATTGTAGTATTGTCGTAAGGACTGTTTTCTGAGTGTTGTAGTAAGGACTATTTTATTAGTATTGTAGTAAGGACTATTTTCTGAATGTTGTAGTAAGGACTGTTTACTGAATGTTGTAGTAAGGACTATTTTCTGAGTCTCGGAGTAAGGACTGTTTTCTGAGTATTGTAGTAAGGACTATTACCTGAATGTTGTAGTAAGGACAATTATTTGAGTGTTGTAGTAAGGACTATTTTCTGAGTGGTGTAGTAAAGACAATTTTCTGTGTGTTGTAGTAAGGACTATTTTCTGAGTGTTGTACTAAGGAAAATTTTATGAGTGTTGTAGTAAGGATTATTTTCTGAGTTTTGTAGTAAGGACTATTTTCTGAGTGTTGTAGTAAGGACTATTTTCTGAGTGTTGTAGTAAGGACTATTTTCTGAGTGTTGTAGTAAGGACTATTTTCTGAGTGTTGTAGTAAGGACAATTATCTGAGTGTCTCGGAATAAGGACTGTTTTCTGAGTGTTAAAGTAAAGACTGTTACCTGAGTGTTGTAGTAAGGACTATTTGTAAAATAAGTATAGCAGAGTTAGGGTTGGTATTGTGTAAAAAAGGGGAGAGGGAGCTGAGATTGCATAGAAGAGAAAGAAGGAGTTAGGATTGTAAAGAAGATTCAGACAGAGAGCATGGGGGTGAAGATAATAAGAAGATAAGAAAATAACTTCAATTGTAGTGTTGTCGTAAGGACTGTTTTCTGAGTGTTGTAGTAAGGACTATTTTATTAGTATTGTAGTAAGGACTATTTTCTGAATGTTGTAGTAAGGACTGTTTACTGAATGTTGTAGTAAGGACTATTTTCTGAGTCTCGGAGTAAGGACTGTTTTCTGAGTATTGTAGTAAGGACTATTACCTGAATGTTGTAGTAAGGACAATTATTTGAGTGTTGTAGTAAGGACTATTTTCTGAGTGGTGTAGTAAAGACAATTTTCTGTGTGTTGTAGTAAGGACTATTTTCTGAGTGTTGTACTAAGGAAAATTTTATGAGTGTTGTAGTAAGGATTATTTTCTGAGTTTTGTAGTAAGGACTATTTTCTGAGTGTTGTAGTAAGGACTATTTTCTGAGTGTTGTAGTAAGGACTATTTTTTGAGTGTTGTAGTAAGGACTATTTTCTGAGTGTTGTTTTAAGGACAATTATCTGAGTGTCTCGGAGTAAGGACTGTTTTCTGAGTGTTGAAGTAAAGACTGTTACCTGAGTGTTGTAGTAAGGACTATTTGTAAAATAAGTATAGCAGAGTTAGGGTTGGTATTGTGTAAAAAAGGGGAGAGGGAGCTGAGATTGCATAGAAGAGAAAGAAGGAGTTAGGATTGTAAAGAAGATTCAGACAGAGAGCATGGGGGTGAAGATAATAAGAAGATAAGAAAATAACTTCAATTGTAGTGTTGTCGTAAGGACTGTTTTCTGAGTGTTGTAGTAAGGACTATTTTATTAGTATTGTAGTAAGGACTATTTTCTGAATGTTGTAGTAAGGACTGTTTACTGAATGTTGTAGTAAGGACTATTTTCTGAGTCTCGGAGTAAGGACTGTTTTCTGAGTATTGTAGTAAGGACTATTACCTGAATGTTGTAGTAAGGACAATTATTTGAGTGTTGTAGTAAGGACTATTTTCTGAGTGGTGTAGTAAAGACAATTTTCTGTGTGTTGTAGTAAGGACTATTTTCTGAGTGTTGTACTAAGGAAAATTTTATGAGTGTTGTAGTAAGGATTATTTTCTGAGTTTTGTAGTAAGGACTATTTTCTGAGTGTTGTAGTAAGGACTATTTTCTGAGTGTTGTAGTAAGGACTATTTTCTGAGTGTTGTAGTAAGGACTATTTTCTGAGTGTTGTTTTAAGGACTGTTTTCTGAGTGTTGTAGTAAGGACTATTTTCTGAGTGTTGTAGTAAGGACAATTATCTGAGTGTCTCGGAGTAAGGACTGTTTTCTGAGTGTTGAAGTAAAGACTGTTACCTGAGTGTTGTAGTAAGGACTATTTGTAAAATAAGTATAGCAGAGTTAGGGTTGGTATTGTGTAAAAAAAGGGAGAGGGAGCTGAGATTGCATAGAAGAGAAAGAAGGAGTTAGGATTGTAAAGAAGATTGGAGTGTGAGGGGATTGCTTAGAAGAGAGGATTAGGAGTTGTGATTGTCTAGAAAAAAGGAGTGTGAGTGGGGATTGTCTAGTCAAGAAGAGTGTGAGTTGGTATTGTCTAGAAGAGAGAAGTGGGAGTTTGGATTGTCTAGCAGAGAGAAGTGTGAGAGGATTGTGCAGAAAGAGATGGTTTAGGATTGTGTAGAAGAGGGGAGTTGGCATTGAAATGTTTAGAAGGCTGGAGTGTAAATTAAAATACATGTGGAGTGGGAATAGAATGATAAAAAAAAACAGATGGAGCTAAAGTAGAGATGGCTTAGATGATGTGAACATGAGGTTTCTACTAGACTACAAGAAACAAAATGGTCTTTTTTAGTGTATAAAATAGTCACTGAATATCTTATCTTAAAGTCCATGCCATGTATCGTTTGTAGTCATATCTATCCACGATCTTCTGTCTCCTTGCATACTTTCAGTCAACATGGACACAAACTGTCCTCCATGCCGTAATGTCACACTGTCCAGCATCTTCTCTCTCAGTCTCCCTCTGCCTTTCTTCCCCTCCACCTTTCCCACTGTCACAATGTACTCTAGGTTTCTCCTTCTCATAACCTGACCAAAGAATGTAGATTGTCTCCTTCTGATGTGGGCAGCTAGTTCTCTCCATGAGTCTTTCACGTCATCTTTATGACTAATTTTATCCCCTCCTTTCCCACGCTATTCTGAACACATCTGTAAAAGCACATTTCCACAGCTTCAAAATAACATTTCACTAATTGTCCATGATTTACTTCTTTGTATCAGGAAAGGATTTATATAGCTTTTAAGAATTCTTTTTGGCGTCTCTTTTGACAAGGAAAGATTGCAGAGAATGTGTTTTGCATAGACCTAGCTCATAAAGAGACCCATCACTGTTTCTCTGTGTATGCTGATGTTGCTGTTTCTGGGTCTGCAGGGACAGCAGCAGCAGGTGCTCTCTGAGGGGAGAAGAACAACATTCAGAACTGCTTCAGTGGTGAGTCTGTGCACTGTCCTCTTGTGTGGCTGGCTTTTGTGTTCAAGCCATTGCTTGGTTAGTTGATTGGTGTCTGTGTTGTTAGATGGTGGATTGGTTAATTGATGTGTGGATTACTGATCACTGTGTGGCTTGGCTGGTTGATTGGTTGATTAGTATGTAGGTTGTTTGATGATAGGTTGGTTGTATTATGTGGCTGGGTTAGGTAATTGGTGTGTTGGTTGTTCGATGAGTGATTGTTTTGTGAATTCATTGGCTGATTCCTAAGTTGGTTATTCAGGTGATAGGTTACCAATTCAGTGGTTGATTTGTGCATGCATGATTTGGTTGGTTGAGAATTGGGTTTGAGCGTTTGTTGAGTAATTAGTGTGTGGGTGGGTTGGCTTGTTTAGGTGATGGCTTCGAAATTTGTTTGGGTTGTGGGTTGGTTGGATGATTTATTTGCATGTCTTGCACAACAGAGGAAACCCATGCTGCCCACATCTAGGCCAGTTTACAAGGACTTACAACAATTAACTCCTGCTTCTCGATTTGTAGGGCCAGAAATTAAGTTCATCTTCTCCATTTACATTATCATTCTGCATTCTCTGCTTCTGTCACACCAGAACCCACAGTGGAACCACAAGTTCATCTTCTCTGTGGATTCGTCTGTCAGCTACCTCAACATCTGCCTGTGGAGTAAGGGGGGTGACCGCACAGACAAGTCAGAGATGATCAGTTCCACCAAGCAGGATGTCCTCTTGGGTTATGTAAGTTTGCCTCATATAATTATTTTAAAAGCTTTCCTGTACTGATGGTGCTAGTTGATTCAAAGTTTGGATGTGGTTGTTCCTGTGGGCAGAAAATTGTCCAGACCCTCGGCTCACTCCTAGCAGCTGAATCATTTCCAGACATGGAGATCTTGAAGTGAAAAAGCATCTATTTTCACACAGCACAAAATCATAACACATGGGATGTCTTAGAAAAGTTGCCAGAAGACAAGATGTAGAATTAGGACTAAAGAACCTGAGGAAGTCTAGGACTTAAACCAGTAATACATTTCATTAAAGAACAATGGATGAGATAGTTCAGCCATCTGAAGAGATTGCCATGGTACCAGCTCCCACAGAGAACCATGCTGAAGAATTGCACTGAACACAGAGCAAGAGAAAGACTATACAAACGATGCAAGGGCAGCATCCACACACACAAAATGATGGGCTTATACAATGCATTAGAAAGCACACCGAGACAATCTGTACATCTTCCCCCAGCATGTTGATAGGGAAACTCAAAGCCCCCAGCATGTTGATAGGGAAACTCAAAGCCCCCAGCATGTTGATAGGGAAACTCGAAGCCCCCAGCATGTTGATAGGGAAACTCAAAGCCCCCAGCATGTTGATAGGGAAACTCGAAGCCCCCAGCATGTTGATAGGGAAATTCAAAGCCCCCAGCATGTTGATAGGGAAACTCAAAGCCCCCAGCATGTTGATAGGGAAACTCAAAGCCCCCAGCATGTTGATAGGGAAACTCGAAGCCCCCAGCATGTTGATAGGGAAATTCAAAGCCCCCAGCATGTTGATAGGGAAACTCAAAGCCCTCAGCATGTTGATAGGGAAACTCGAAGCCCCCAGCATGTTGATAGGGAAATTCAAAGCCCCCAGCATGTTGATAGGGAAACTCGAAGCCCCCAGCATGTTGATAGGGAAATTCAAAGCCCCCAGCATGTTGATAGGGAAACTCGAAGCCCCCAGCATGTTGATAGGGAAACTCAAAGCCCCCAGCATGTTGATAGGGAAACTCGAAGCCCCCAGCATGTTGATAGGGAAATTCAAAGCCCCCAGCATGTTGATAGGGAAACTCGAAGCCCCCAGCATGTTGATAGGGAAATTCAAAGCCCCCAGCATGTTGATAGGGAAACTCAAAGCCCCCAGCATGTTGATAGGGAAACTCGAAGCCCCCAGCATGTTGATAGGGAAACTCAAAGCCCCCAGCATGTTGATAGGGAAACTCAAAGCCCCCAGCATGTTGATAGGGAAACTCGAAGCCCCCAGCATGTTGATAGGGAAACTCGAGGAAGAGAAGAAGTCTGAAGAATTTTCTCATACTTAGGTGTTTTAGGCATAAGGTGCTAGTCTCATATTTTAAGAGACCAATTAGAACTTGATGGCTTATATAATAATGGCATCCACCTTTACTTCCCAGAGAACTTCAAGATACCCATACTCAGTTGTCACATAAGCGTAACATGCTCTCATCTGCAAGTCCATTTGTTGTTGTTGTTGCTAGTGTTGTTAATAAACTAATATATGTTCCCATCTGCTAGTGTTGTGAGTAAACCCACATGTGTTTGTTGTTCAGGTTAGTCTCCACTTGGATGAGATCTTCCTACACAGCCTGGTGACACTTAATGGCACCATGTATGACCGGGTCAAGTTGAAGCATGGACACTTTAAGACAGAGGATGAGTATGTTGCAGCTTTCACTGGCATGCTTTTTTTTTTTTTTTTTAAATTTTAGGCCTTTATTTTCTGTATTCAGGTCAACCAGCTGAGATATGAATCCTCAAGTTGTGTGGAACTGTCTAAATATTCGCTATATCTCCTAAGTGAAGTGCCTGACAAGATACAGCCAAATTACCAGACACTAAATTAGGCAATACTTGGAATTCAGACATAATCTATTCAGAGAAAGCGATAAAATTCGAAATCTTTGAGTTCCAAGGCAGCTTTTCCCATTGAAAATAATGGAAACTAATCTGCTCCATGGTTCAACAGAACTCAGATTTTAAAATGTTTCTAAATTCAGTGCACTGTAAATATAGTAACAAATTAAGGTCATGTTTGAATAAAATACATCAATCAGTAAAAAGAATGTGAAAAATGGTCAAAATAACCCTGATCAAAATAATGACGCAGCACATAGAAGTGGAAAAATAAGAAGGGAGATTTAGTGAGTGTATTGTTTGGGAGGTGAGCCATTGTCCATGATAACATTAGAAATCTTTTAGTTTGTTTCATATCATAGTCTTTCACCACTAGTAGAAGGTTTGAGATCACTAGTTTTGGTTCCAAAGTGCTCTGATGTTGGCAGCCATTTAAAATGTTTCTAAAATGTTTGATAATGTTATCATTGAATAAGTTCACACACCTGATGACCAGGGCTCTACCGTGGTGTCACCTTTCAACAGATTCTTGGGTTTTTGACCACATTGATAAAAGATCTTGGGTTTTTGACCACATGGTAAAAAAATCTTAGGTTTCAGCAATGCTAATCCTCCTTCTAACTTTCCCTTCTTCCTCCCCTGAAGAAATTTTTTGTGTGTGATTTCTTCCCCGGCATTGATTTCCAAGGTGGCATTCAAGTTGAGAGGCAGAATTTACTATAACATTTTGTTGAAATTCCGAGTTGTTCTAATTCCAAGGTATGTATATTTGTTGTGTCATCTTTTTGAATTGTTTTATTGTTAGCTGTGTTATAAAACTAATTAATGAAAATATTAATTTTATTCCTAATTGTTTTATTCTTCTGTGTGCACCATAGAAGGGTGGTTGGCACATGGCTTGGCTGCAATGTCTGCACCATTTTGGCTTAACATACCCAGCAGACTTGTTATAAGTTACTTTTTAGGAAGTGAGTAGGTATACCCCCCCCCTCCCCCCTCCCCACAACTGGGGATCTGGAACCCACATGAGGCATTGTTAAATGTTTTGTATAGTCTCTTTCTTTATTCTTATGGTCCATGCAGGATGGCATTGTTAGTTTTGTCTGTCCTTAACCTTCTGTTTCATTTATTCTCAGTCTTTTTCTCACACAGAGGATCTTCCATGTCCAACTGTCCAGCACCATCTCTCTCAGGCTCCCTCTAACCCTTTTCTCTCCAAACTCCCTATAGTCACGATGTATTCCAGTTTTCTCCTTCTCAAGAAATGACCAAAGAATGTAAACTGTCTCCTTATGATGTGGGCAATCACGTTTTCATCATGACATCTTCATTACTCTTTTTACCTTTCTTTACAGACTGGTGAAAACCTGGTCAGTTCACAAAGGCTGGGATCCAAACCAGATGTATGGCGACATCTCTTTAGCCTTCCACTATGTTCCTACAGACCTGACCCAGGAACAGAGGCGCCTCCTCAGCGGCAGCAAGACTGCCTCAGTTAAGCTGCAGAGTGAGCTGTTTGAGAGGTACAAAGCAGATGAGGATGAGCAGGGAAAGCCCTCACCGGCAAGAATCCCCGAGGACCTCAAGAGGTATTGTGTTCAGTATATTTTATGCACGCATGCACGTGAGCTAAGACACACACAAACATGTGTGCGCACACACACACAAACACACACTCCCCCACAAAGTTTAAAGGTTTAAATTTGTGAGGATTTTTATTGTTGCAGTGGGTGTTAACCCAAGTGTCTGTTGGCATGTGGTCTCCGGGTTCCTCTTTTTGGATTGATTTGTTCAGCTAAATGGGTGGATACACAGTCTTACTTACTGTTTTGCAAGTCTTTGCTTATGAAAATAGTTAGCCGTTGCATTTTCCTTCATATGTAGACTGAAAACAGGGTTCGTATCCAACCAGGAAACTGGAATTTAGCCCGGACATTGCGGCCCTGATCGGAACCCTGGATTTGACCTGGGAACATATCTGCCTGGAATGTTGACAGTGGCAATGGTAGAATTTAAGTAAAACAAGCTATCATGTGAAGACCTGCGATTTTTGGCAGTTGGTCTATTTTTTGGCCATTTGGCTATTTTCAGCTACCTTCATTTTAAATGTTTATGGTCGTTTTTAATGTTTATGGTCATTTGTGGGGCTAGCAAAGTGACGTCAGCTGGCGCTTTAAGTTCTATTTTGGCTTATCTTTACAGCGTGTTTGGCTTCCCTCTTCTTTTCTCTCACCTCTCCTTCTCTTTCCCCTTCCATCTTTCACTCATCTACCTCTTACCCATGTCTCCTGCATTCTCTCTCTCCCTCTCCTCTAGTCTTCATCTTCTTCTCTTTCTCTCTTTCTTTCTTTTTACCCTCTCCTTTCCTGTTTCCCACCCCTCTAAGATTTTTTTATTGTTCATTGATCATTTCCGGTAAACATACGGTATGCCTGGATTCCGTTTTCTGCTGAAATAGGTGGATATGATTAAATTAGGCTATTTTTGACTACCTTCTAAATGTCAGTGCTCATTAACGGTTGAGGGGGGGGGGGGGGATAGCATTTGATCGATCTTCTGCTCATTGTTTAGTTTGCGGGGGTGCGGATGGTATGAATTGGAGGAAGGGTGGGGGAATGGTGAGCAGTGTTGAAAGAAATGGACCTATTCAAGCCACACACTGACAGCCAGTACATGCCGGGAGAGGCTTGCTTGCATGCCTGCCTTGTTTCTGGACCATGTTAGAATTAGGAGAGGTAGGGTTAGCCCACGTATGTGCGCACAAATGAAGGACCTTGTGTGCGAAGTAACTTGTGTGCTCGGTAAACCCTTGAATAATACTTTTTTTTCAGTAATACTTCGAGACAGCCTTGGGAAAAAAAAAATAAGGATACCTTGAAAAGGACCTTGAAATTGATTGGCTGTGAACCCTGTGAAAAGATATAGTTCCATTGTCCAGCTATTGAGTTGAGTGCTTAATGTTCCACTATAAGCTGGGTATTTCATTTGGAATGCTTTCCTTTTTTTTTTTTTTAACTGTAACCCCATGGTTTATGTTTCTGTGTAACCCCATGGTTTGTGTTTCTGTGTAACCCCATAGTTTGTGTTTCTGTGTAACCCCATAGTTTGTGTTTCTGTGAAACCCCATGGTTTATGTTTCTGTGTAACCCCATGTTTATGTTTCTGTGTAACCCCATAGTTTGTGTTTCTGTGTAACCCGATGATTTCTAATTCATTTGTTTTACTCTACACATTGTGCTTGACCCAGGGACCTGAATGAAGGACATCACCAATTTGACAACACAACTTTCATGACTGCAACATTTTGTGATTACTGTGGGAAGAAGGTAAGTTGTGGCTGAGTCACCAGTTTGACCACACAACTTTCATGACAGCAACATTTTGTGATTGCTGTGGGAAGAAGGTAAGTTGGGGCTGAGTCACCAGTTTTACAACACAACTTTCATGACAGCAACATTTTGTGGGAAGAAGGTAAGTTGTGGCTGAGTCACCAGTTTTACAACACAACTTTCATGACAGCAACATTTTGTGATTACTGTGGGAAGAAGGTAAGTTGTGGCTGAGTCACCAGTTTTACAACACAACTTTCATGACTGCAACATTTTGTGATTACTGTGGGAAGAAGGTAAGTTGGTGCTGAGTCACCAGTTTTACAACACAACTTTCATGACAGCAACATTTTGTGGGAAGAAGGTAAGTTGTGGCTGAGTCACCAGTTTTACAACACAACTTTCATGACTGCAACATTTTGTGATTACTGTGGGAAGAAGGTAAGTTGGGGCTGAGGTCACCTGTTAACTTGGGATCATTGTCACTTTAAAAAAATCAGATTTGACAATTCATTATGATTCTGGGAGGTTCATATTGGAACCATCATTGCAAACAGTTTTTCTTTGAGAAGGTTAAGACTGAAAACTGAATACAAAGCACTTAGAGAATATTCATAAACACTCATTTTCAGCAGCCAGCACTATAATATAATTAGTTGTGGTTCCAAGTTCTTCTTATATGGTTTCCAAACCCCATTTTGGAGACACACAAATGAAAGCTACTGCTATCTTAACAAAGATGACTCTTGACTTTTACCAGGATTTGTTTTCTGCAGTGGTATTTCTGTAATAATACTTAGCTGTGATACTGTGATATGAGAGTCACACTGTAGAAGAAATTAGGGTATCACTGGGTAACATTCCCATAGTTGGCAATGGACACATTGCAGCCAACGTCATTAAGGAAATGACATCATTAAAAGAAAGAAAATATACCTGTGAATAATTTGATACAAAGAGACATCTTATTCAAAGCATATTTATTCCAACTCTGTGCTACCAGTGCCAGACATGGTTACTCACAACAAACCATAAAAGAAAATTAGTAACCACGGAAATGAGATGTCTGAAAAGGGCTGTAGGAGTGACCATAAGAGATAAGATCAGGAATGAGATCATAAGAGAACAAGTCGGCACAGAACCAATTCTGGATTACATACAAAGACAGCAAGTGAAATGGTTTGCCCACTTAGAGAGAATGCCTTGTGACACCATACCATACAAAGCATACATGGAAAGAGAAGGACGTAGAGCACGGGGTAGACCAAGAACAAGATGGAAGGATAACATCAGAGAAACTCTACAACAGCACGATGTGCCTATGGTCGAGGCAGCCAGAAGAGCTAGAAACAGAACCTTATATCTCCCTCGACACCCACAGCGGTAAAAGAGGAAGTGAAGAAGAAGAAGAAGAATAATTTGATGATAATATTGATTCACCTAACTGAGGTGCCTTCTTCTTTTCCTCAGATATGGATGAAGGAAGCCTTTAAGTGCCAGACGTGCAATATGGCGTGTCACAAAAAATGCCTGGTCAAGTGTCTGGTGAACACCGTCTGCACTGAGTGAGTCCAAACTTCTGTGTCTTTATTTCTCTGCTTTTTGTTGTTGTTAAATTTGCCCTCAAAAGAGCAGCCGGTCCATTGTGTTGGGGTTTACAGCTAAGCTGTGATGTCTGCTATGTTCAGCACAACACAACCCAGTCTGCCAAACCCTTACTAACATAAAGTTGCAGTGTATACGTTGAATTTTCAAGCTGAAAATATTTCAAAAACTAGGAGTCAACTTATTTGCTGATTAACAACAAATGTATTAGGTATAGCCATAACTCAGAATTTTTAAGTTAAAAATTCTCCAGGTCGACTTGTAGACAAGGTTGAAGTGTACATCACACTAGTCTTTTCTCTCTCCCTAAAGTAGGACTCCTAAAACCAGGGTGATTTAGCTTCTCATAGAAAAGTGTTTAAAAGCAAGAGCATTCATTTAACGGCTCTCCTTTCAACTACGGCCGGTAGACAACAGGAGACGGCCGGTTAGTCCGAGTTATGTCCCCTGGCTGCAGTGCTATTACGGACTGGAGAAGGCACGAATCAAAAAACACAGTGAGGTCGACATGCCTGGCAGAGCCGGCGCTGTGACTTAAATAAGCGACCGCGTTCAATTACCGCCTCTTGCGGCGCGTTACGGAGTGGACTAGAGAGAACGACACAAGTGACATAATTACTGTGTGTTGGCGATAGACAGCGTGCAGTGCCCTACTGTCATCATATGGTTAGGGTTTGGGGTAGGGGTAGGGTTAGGTTTAGGGTTAGGTTTAGGGTTAGGGTTTGCGTTGCTACTATGAGTTTGTGCGAGGACGAGATGCGGCGACACTAACCGTAACCCTAAACCTAACCCAAACCCTACCCCTCCCCCTAACCCTAACCCTAAACCAAAACGTAACTGTATGATTATAGCAGGGCAGTGCGCGCTGTCTATCGCCAACACACAGTAATTATGTCATTTGTTTCGTTCCCTCCTTTCCACTCCGTAATAGCACTGCAGCCAGGGGACATCTCCGACTAACCGGCCGTCCTCCTGTTGTCTACCGGCTGTAGTTGATAGGATAGCCCATTTAACTGCTTTCAGTTTTTATTTTTTATTTTTAAAAATTTAATTACCCAAGCTTTCCGGTTGACCCAGCCTAAAGTAAATATCATGGGACGACAGCAGCAGCTTCTTTTTTAGTGATCAACATTTGTTACAAGTCCATTCCTGTATGGGTCATAAACAGAACAATGAGCTTGATGTCTTTATTGGTGCTCCACAATTTCTGCTTCTGAGTTCAGTATGTTGATCTGGCCGTTACTGCCATGACTGTTTATGCAGTCTTGTTCTGGTCTGTAATTTGTGTTACCTCTTCTGCATTGTGTCTTCATGGATTGCTTTAAGAGCTTCTTGCTTCTTTAAAGCTCTGAGATGAGTGGGGCTGCTGTAGAAGCCTTTGTGAGCTTGTCAGACAGCAGCCATGATGTTGACCACATCATCCACTGAGACTGAATGCTGATTCTGCCCTTTATCTCCTATAGGCCCTCAACCAACTCACATCAAGCCACACCAACTCACACCAAGTCACACCAGCTTACACTGAGTCACACCAACTCACACTGAGTCACACCAACTCACACCGAGTCACCAACTCACACCATGTCACACCAGCTCAAAGCAAGTCACAAAAACCCACACCAAGTCACACCAGCTCACATCAACTCACACCAAGTCACACCAACTCACAACAACTTACACCAAGTCACATCAGCTCACTTAACTCACACCAAGTCACACCAACTCACACCAAGTCACATCAGCTCACACCAAGTCACATCAGCTCTCACCTAGTCACACCAACTCACACCAAGTCAAATCAGCTCATATCAACTCACACCAAGTCACACCAACTCACACCAAGTCACACCAACTCACAAACACATACCAAGTCATTGATATCACTAGAAGGGACGGGTGAACGCGAATGCCCTGTCCAAGAGACAGGACGTGTTTTTCTCGCTCTCATCATTTTAGATTTTTTAAGCCCTGTTGCATTGGATATCTGAGGATAATTTTTATATCACTGTGACCGTTGTTCCGGCGGGCTTACTGTGAAATAGTTTTTGTGTGACTTTGTAGATCAATATTCGTTAAAAATGGAATATAGTGTATTATAATAGGTTTTCTGCAACGGAAGCCTCTGTTGCCAACGGGGCACAAACAGGCCCGATTGTGTTTCACCTGGCCCCATGGATTTATGGCATTTTAGACAGTAATTGTCCTGTGGGCGTACACACGGTGGCATACAACCGGACTGGTGAAGTGCTGCCACGCCAACACAGGATGCCGTTAAAAACTTAATTAGGTATTTTCCCCGGGTAGGTGGGACTCGATAGCTGGGGACAGCGGCCCACCTATGAGAAGGATACTCTGAAACTAAACTACCACTGCCCGGTGGTCAGGCCTTGGTTGGTTACGGGCTAAGGAAGCACATCCTAAAAGAAAAGCACGTTGAAGACGGAGACGCCAGGTCGAAAGGCACAGATAGTGTGGGAGAATATTTTCCCACAAACATGACGTCACGCATACCTTCTTGAATGTCAGAAAACCCTAGCAGGAATGAAGACTGTGGTGTTTAATCTTTAACACTTCAGTGAAACCATATCACAGTGAGCCCTACCTTAAAAGTGGCAACTGCACAACGTCACCACTCGCAAAGCTAGAAAAACAGCCTAGATAATATATCCATCAGAGGGACAAGATGGACGAAGAAGACGTGTGCACTCTGAGGATTCTACAATGGAATGCAGAGGGAGTCCGCAACAAAAAAGCTGCACTCACAAAACAACTTACAGAAGGACATATTGATATTGCCTGTATACAGGAGACACACCTGTCAGAAAAGCACAGATTCTGTATTAGAAGCTTCCAGTGCTTCAGACAGGACAGAGAAAATGGTCCCAAAGGAGGAGTCCTCATCCTAGTAAAAAACAGCATTCCAGCAGCTAGTTTAACAGTGAACACAGAACAGGAGTCTGAGATCATGGGTATCAGTCTTAACATTGCAGGCAAGGAAATTGTATTATACAATTGTTACTGCCCGCCAAGCAAAGAACTCTCATTACACAACATGAGAATCCCAGATGACAACTGTATCGTTCTAGGAGATTTTAACAGCTGCTCTCCAAGCTGGGGATATTCACAGCTCAACGAGAGAGGAGAAGAAGTGGAGGACTGGCAGACATATGCCAGACTCCAGCTAATCAACAAACCAGATGACTCCCCATCTTTTTTCTCCAGGAGATGGTTTTCAACCAGCCGCCCAGACTTAAGGTTTGCCACGTTAGACTTAGCAAGCAACATACACAAAACGGTGCTCAGCCAACTAGCAGGTAGTGACCACCGACCGATCCTGATTTCTGTTCTAAATATGAGAGGCCTTCATTCGATGCCGCACCTCGTTGGAATTACAAGAAAGCTGACTGGAACAGTTTTGCTAACCTTGCTGATGTATACTCGATAAATGTAAATGGCAAATCAAGTCAGGTTGCTAAATCATTAAAAGAGTTTACAGAAGCTATATTAAAAGCAGCCAAAGAAACCATACCTCGGGGTTCAAGGAAAGATTACATCCCATTTTGGCCCCAACAAATTCAAGACCTCCACCAAACTCTCTCAGAAGCAAGAGATAGAGTAGAAAGCAACCCAACGGTAGAAAACAACATTGCTTACAAAGCAACAGAAGCTAAGCTAAAAAAAGAAACACTTCAAGCAACTAGGAAGAGCTGGCAAGACAAAACCAAGAGCCTAAGTTTTGAAAAAGATGGGTCCAAACTCTGGAAACTAGTCAAGTGTCTAAATGGAGAAGCCCAACAAGCCAATCCAATAGTAATAAATGAGGGCAATGAGATCAGATCTGGAAACGATGCTGCAAATATCCTTTTAAATCAGTTTAAATCTGTTAGTGATATTAATATAGAAAAGTCCAGAGAAGATGGGGTAGTACAAAGAATAAAAGAACTCGAGGAGGCCAGCAAGAGTAAACCAGCAGAGAGCATCATGACAGATAAATTCTCAATGAGTGAAATTAACACAGGATTCAACCAGCTGAAATCCAACCAAGCCCCTGGCCCCGATAAAATCACGAATGATATGTTACTACACATGGGTCTAAGTGCCAAAAAAAGAAATTATTAAACATCTTTAATCCCAGCTGGATTTTTAGTATAGTTCCTCCAGCCTGGAGGAAGTCTGAAATCTTCGTAATCCTGAAACAAGGAAAGCCGAAGAACAACGCAGACAGCTACAGACCCATCAGCCTCACTAGCTGTCTGTGCAAACTATTTGAAAGATTATTGAACAACCGACTGACCTGGTTCCTAGAGAAAAACTTCAAACTAATGGAGGAAGGAACAGGCAGGTTTTCAACGTTGCAGATCAACAGAAGACCAAATTACATTTATTGCTCAACACATTGAAGATGCATTCCAGGAAAAAAAGCACACTATTGCAGTCTGGGTGGATATGGAAAAGGCCTTCGACAAAGTGTGGAAAAATGGGCTGAAACAAAAGCTACTTGAAAGTGGAATATCCCATCACATGCTTGGGTGGATCGTAAAATATCTTGAAAATCGATCTGCAAGAGTCAAGATACAGGGTTCAAGGAGCAGATCAGTCTCAATGACACATGGAGTTCCACAAGGCGGAGTTCTGTCCCCAATTCTTTTCCTAGATTACATTAACGACATAAAATCAACCCTCTGTAATGGAGTTCAAGCCGTTATGTATGCCGATGATCTGGCGCTACTGAGTTCAGAGGAGGTCACTGAAAAAGCACAGACAAGGCTTCAAGAATCCCTCGGAACTCTAGATAGGTGGTCCAATAGCTGGTACATGCCTGTAAATGGGGCCAAAACTACACACACCATTTTCAGTCTCTCTACCAAACCCCAGAAAGTTTCACTTAGATATGGCAGCCAGGCACTGATACATGATGACTCACCGTCATATTTAGGAGTAACCTTTGACTCAAGACTCACATGGAGAAAACAGATAGAAAAGACACAGAGCAAGGGACTCAAGAGAACACAACTGATGAGGAAGTTAGCTGGAACAGACTGGGGGGCAAACCTCAATGTCCTTAAGAGGACCTATACAGGCTATGTGAGGCCAACACTAGAATATGGAATAGCTGCTTGGGGCACAGCAGCTAAATCAAATTTTCAAAAAGTCTCAAAAATCCAAAACCATGCTCTCCGTATTATGACAGGGGCAATGCGCTCCACGCCCATATCAGATATGGAAACAATTACTGGTCTCCATAATCTGGAAGATAGGAGAGACACAAAGATCCTCACCCAGCTCTCCAAATACCACCACTTTCAAGAAAAACCCATGTACAGCCGACTGCAGAAACCCCAGAAGGCTAGACTAAAGAGAACTTGCTTTATTAAGAACGCAAATGCCAAGCTCGCTGTCCTCAAACTCCCTCCCATAATACCAAATGTTCCACTTAAACCTTACAACGACTGCCCCGCTTGGCTTAGGGATAGCCTACCAAAAGTCAGAACCACTGTAACAGGGGTCTCCTCCAAATCATCAATGAGCAACACTGATATGAAATCAACTACAGAAGGAGAGATCAATAGACTTTACCCACACCAGAGTTGGATTCGAGTGTATACAGATGGTTCAGCCAAGAGAGCAGTAAGAGACAGAGGAGGAGGAATATACATAGAATGCCCAAATGGTTTAAAAATCAACCAGGCTGTACCAACAGGTTCATATTCCTCCAATTACAGAGCAGAGGCAGAAGCACTTCTAGCGGCATGTTCTTTCCTGAATGGACAACAGCACAGCAAATATAGCAGAGTGGTCTTTCTGACTGATGCTATGTCAGTTCTACAAGCAATTGTTAACCCAAAAGACACTCAGTTTGTAGACTTGACGCAACAGCTGATTTACTTAGGCTTTTCAGTAGAACAATCTGTACTGCAGTGGATTCCAGGTCACTGTGGCTTGGAAGGTAATGAAATAGCGGACAGATTAGCCAGAAGCGGCAGTGATATGGTAAAACCAAATAGCGACTTAACCCACCAAGAGATGAAAACACTAATACAATCTAGTATCCAAGAAAGGTGGCTGGATACCCACACCAGATTTTCTCCCCAAGACTCACTTCATCGCCTCTCTAGAGAGGGACAGTCTAATATATTCAGACTAAGGACAGGGCACAACAGATTTCGTCAACATATGTTCAAATTTTTCGGTGTAGGAAATACAGAGACGTGTCCCTGCAGCGTGGCACCCGAAAATGCTGAGCATGTGCTCCAACACTGTCAACTGTATGCTGACAACAGAGACGCAATCTGGCCTGTTCCAACCACAATAAAGACAAAATTGTATGGTACACAAGAGGATATAGATTGCACGATAGCTTTCATAAAGGCTACCGGCCTCCTGATATAAGTTTTCTGACAGAAGGATCGAAGAAGAAGAAGAAGACTAGAAGGGACACCAGTATCACTAGAAGGGACATCAGTATCACTAGAAGGGACATCAGTATCACTAGAAGGGACATCAGTGTCACTAGAATTGACATCAGTATCACTAGAAGGGACATCAGTATCACTAGAAGGGTCATCAGTATCACTAGAAGAGACATCAGTATCACCAGAAGGGACATCAGTATCACCAGAAGGGACATCAGTATCACTAGAAGGGACATCAGTATCACCAAAAGGGACATCAGTATCACCAGAAGGGACATCAGTATCACTAGAAGGGACATCAGTATCACTAGAAGGGACATCATCATCACTAGAAGGGGCATCAGTATCACTAGAAGGGACATCAGTGTCACTAGAATTGACATCAGTATCACTAGAAGGGTCATCAGTATCACTAGAAGGGTCATCAGTATCACTAGAAGGGTCATCAGTATCACTAGAATTGTCATCAGTATCACTAGAAGGGTCATCAGTATCACTAGAAGGGTCATCAGTATCACTAGAAGGGTCATCAGTATCACTAGAAGGGTCATCAGTATCACTAGAAGGGTCATCAGTATCACTAGAAGGGTCATCAGTATCACTAGAAGGGTCATCAGTATCACTAGAAGGGTCATCAGTATCACTAGAAGGGTCATCAGTATCACTAGAAGGGACATCAGTATCACTAGAAGGGACATCAGTATCACTAGAAGGGTCATCAGTATCACTAGAAGGGTCATCAGTATCACTAGAAGGGACATCAGTATCACTAGAAGGGACATCAGTATCACTAGAAGGGACATCAGTATCACTAGAAGGGACATCAGTATCACTAGAAGGGTCATCAGTATCACTAGAAGGGTCATCAGTATCACTAGAAGGGTCATCAGTATCACTAGAAGGGACATCAGTATCACTAGAAGGGTCATCAGTATCACTAGAAGGGTCATCAGTATCACTAGAAGGGTCATCAGTATCACTAGAAGGGACATCAGTATCACTAGAAGGGACATCAGTATCACTAGAAGGGTCATCAGAATCACTAGAAGGGACATCAGTATCATTAGAAGGGACATCAGTATCACTAGAAGGGTCATCAGTATCACTAGAAGGGTCATCAGTATCACTAAAAGGTGCTCGATTGTTCAGGAAGGAGTGGTAAACTAATTTTAAGTAAAATTACCTGATAAACCACAACCAGCAGATACAACACCTTGTCCAGGAGGATATTCAGCTAATTGTTTTTTTTTTATAAACAACTGATAAACCAAGTAGACTTTGTCAATGTTTCAGTGCTGGTAGACTATGTCAATGTTTCAGTGCTGTTAGACTGTGTGAATGTTTCAGTGCTGGTAGACTATGTCAATGTTTCAGTGCTGGTAGATTATGTCAATGTTTCAGTGCTGGTAGACTTAATCTATGTTTCGGTGCTGGTAGACTATGTCAGTGTTTCAGTGCTGGTAGACTATGTCAATGTTTCAGTGCTGTTAGACTGTGTCAGTGTTTCAGTGCTGGTAGACTATGTCAAAGTTTCAGTGCTGGTTGACTATGTCAATGTTTCAGTGCTGGTAGACTATGTCAATGTTTCAGTCCTGGTAGACTGTGTCAATGTTTCAATGCTGGTAGACTATGTCAATGTTTCAGTGCTGGTTGACTATGTCAGTGTTTCAGTGCTGGTAGACTGTGTCAATGTTTCAGTGCCAAAGTAGACTATGTCAATGTTTCAGTGCCGAAGTAGACTGTGTCAGTGTTTCAGTGCTGGTAGACTATGTCAATGTTTCAGTGCTGGTAGACTATGTCAATGTTTCAGTGCTGGTAGACTATGTCAATGTTTCAGTGCTGGTAGACTATGTCAATGTTTCAGTGCTGTTAGACTATGTCAATGTTTCAGTGCTGGTAGACTGTGTCAATGTTTCAGTGCTGGTAGACTGTGTCAATGTTTCAGTGCTGGTAGACTATGTCAGTGTTTCAGTGCTGGTAGACTATGTCAATGTTTCAGTGCTGGTAGACTATGTCAATGTTTCAGTGCTGGTAGACTATGTCAATGTTTCAGTGCTGGTAGACTATGTCAATGTTTCAGTGCTGGTAGACTATGTCAATGTTTCAGTGCTGGTAGACTATGTCAATGTTTCAGTGCTGGTAGACTATGTCAATGTTTCAGTGCTGGTAGACTATGTCAATGTTTCGGTGCTGGTAGACTATGTCAATGTTTCAGTGCTGGTAGACTATGTCAATGTTTCAGTGCCAAAGTAGACTATGTCAATGTTTCAGTGCCGAAGTAGACTATGTCAATGTTTCAGTGCTGGTAGACTATGTCAGTGTTTCAGTGCTGGCAGACTATGTCACTGTTTCAGTGCTGGTAGACTATGTCAGTGTTTCAGTGCTGGTAGACTATGTCAATGTTTCAGTGCTCGTAGACTATGTCAGTGTTTCAGTGCTGGTAGACTATGTCAATGTTTCAGTGCTCGTAGACTATGTCAATGTTTCAGTGCTCGTAGACTATGTCAATGTTTCAGTGCTGGTAGACTGTGTCAGTGTTTCAGTGCTGGTAGACTATGTCAGTGTTTCAGTGCTGGTAGACTATGTCAATGTTTCAGTGCTGGTAGACTATGTCAATGTTTCAGTGCTGGTAGACTATGTCAATGTTTCAGTGCTGGTAGACTATGTCAATGTTTCAATGCTGGTAGACTATGTCAATGTTTCATTGCTGGTAGACTATGTCAGTGTTTCAGTGCTGGTAGACTATGTCAATGTTTCAGTGCTGGTAGACTATGTCAATGTTTCAGTGCCGGAGCAAAGAAGAGAAGCTCGGTTGAGGAAGCCTGGGAGCCATTGGCAACCACTGGCAAGCTGAAACGTCCAGTTGTAGCAGATGAGGTTGTCAAGAATTTAGGATGTAAGTCAAAATGTTGTCTTCCCTGTCCGGGTTCCTAGCCCCTATAATGAGGGAACATGTAATCAACCCACTGCTCCCCCAACAAGCATGTTGTAAAATGTGATTAATTCAGAGTGTTTACTTCGGAGTGGAAATGTATCTGCAAGGTGAGGAACCAACAGTCTGCATACAAATAAGCCAAATCTGGAAATTGGTTGTGCATTACAGAATTCAAGTCCTGGAACAAGACAAGACTGTAAAGTCCAGAAGCAGTCAAGATGTCAGAGAACTTTCTGCTGGAGTTGTTAGCCACTGAATGCAAAGAAGAAGAAGACACTGTCTTCTTGTATTTGCGGAATAGAAGTGTCTTATAGCCGGCTGGCTGAATGGTTAATGACGCTGGGCTCTCATGCTGGAAACCCAGGTTCAAATTTTCGGTAGGGTTGTGGATTTTTTGTGTCAGGATCAGTCCAAAAGCACCAGTCATGCGACCCTAAATCTTCAGGCTCAAAGATGTATGTATGTATGTGTGTGTGTCCGCATGCGTATCTGTGATAATGTATGTATCTATATGTGTGTATGTGTGTATATATGTATATTTACTACCCAGGTTTTTATGTATTGTATTTGATACTTATGTGTATACTGTTTTATGAACAATATAAGCTTTACAGATAAAATACAACTGCTGTGTAAAAAATGCATGTTTGGAAGGTCTGAATGTAAGATGGGCTTCTTGCCCAATTTGTTGTTCTTGAAAATTGAGATTGTTCATTCATTCATTGATTAGTTCGTTACACAGACTCTAACCTATCAACTTATGTTTGTCCAACAGTTCAAGAAGAAGATATGGCTTCCCAGGAAGTACTGACCATCACTGATGTAAGTTTCTGCTGAATTAGTTTTTGTTTTTTACACAAATTACTGTCTAAATGACTCCAAGGCAGATGAATAAATAAACAAAATGTCTGGACAAGCACCGGTATCAGCAGTTATCAGACAAAGAAGATGTTGCTGTATTGGGCACATCTTTTGAACAAGCCAGCAGAGAATAATCAGCTTGTCACTTAAATGGGAAAAAAAGTGAATTGAGGACAGGAAGATGTTCAAAAGAGACCCTAAAATAAATGTTGATGAGAGAAGCCAAAGAAACTTGAACAGTTTACATCCATGATATCAAAAAGGTTTCACAGAATGGAGGAATAGACTGCAAGCCCTATGGGACATATAATGGCAGGATGAGGATGATGTCTAAATGAAGATTTCCATTCTCATGCCAACCCTCCTTAGCAGACTCGTAAGACATGCATGCTTACATAACTCCATATTACGTGCACAGTGGCAAACATCACTTCAGAGATCCAAGGTTGTCAGAATTCTTTGGAAATTTTCTCAGGGATATGCGGATTATTGGAAATGAACAGGCAGACGGACAGACTGGCTTTGCACCAGTGGGTGGTGAATTTATGCATGACAGGCTACTTATGGTCAGAGGCCCTTTAGGAACAAGTGAACACTAGGGAGGCTTGAATGAGTCATTGTGGTCCGGAGAGAATCGAACAGCTAGGAGTGACCAGTGGATCTGGTCAACACGCTACACTCAGTGGAAAAGCCAGGCAGATATATAATCAACCGTCATTGGCACACTGGCAGTTCACCAGCTGTTGAAGATGAGGATGGAGTAACTATGGGAATTTCTTGAGTACTGTGTTGTTGGTTCTTAGCTCAACACTCTACATTCAACAACACTCATATTACTGGTTTGCCTGTTTGACTGCTTAGCCTCATGTTACAGCTGATTCTGAAATGAATGCCAATTCGTATGTTATTGCTTGCTTATTCCTATATTACTGTTTATTCCCATGTTACTGCTTATTCTAAAAGTACTGTTTATTCCCATGTAACTTGTTATTTTCATATCACTGTTACTGATTCTCACACTGCTGTCTGCTTATTCCTGTGTTACTGCTTATTTTAAACTATTGACTATTGCCGTTTAACTTTTTATTTCCCATATTTCTGCTTGCTTATTCCCCATATTACTGTTTACTTTTTCCCCATGTTACTGTTTGCTTATTACTGTTACAGTTTACTTTTTCCCCATGTTATTGTTTGCTTATTCCTGTGTTGCTGCTTCTTCTAAAATAACGATTTATTTCTATGTATCTGTTTCCTTATTACTGTTACTGTTTACTTTTCCCTATGTTACTGTTTGCTTATTTCTATGTTACTGGTTATTCTAAAAGTACTGTAGGTACCCATGTTACCATTTGCTTGTTCCCATGTTACTGTTTGCTTATTCCTGTATTACTGCTTATTCCCTTGTTACCGTTTGCTTGTTCCCATTACTGTTTGCTTATTCCTGTATTACTGCTTATTCCCATGTTACTGTTTGCTTGTTCCCATGTTACTGTTTGCTTATTCCTGTATTACTGCTTATTCCCTTGTTACCGTTTGCTTGTTCCCATGTTACTGTTTGCTTATTTCTATGTTAATGGTTATTCTATAAGTATTTGTTTATTCCCATGTTACCATCTGCTTATTCCCATGTTACTGTATGCATATTCCTGTTTTACTGATTTGCAGACCAGCATCAATACAAGCGAATCCTTGCAGAATTTGACCTCCCTGTTTGATGGAATCTACAGCGAACCTGAACAGAAAGGTTTGCCCAGCACGAGTCGACAAGATGCCACGCAGGAAGTGAGTGATTGTTGTGTCAGAGATGTTAACTTATTCATTACATGACAACTTGCCATATGTTTCTTGATTTCAGCTGCCATGATATACTTTTCTTAACTACCCATTCATTTGTTGAACAAACCCAATTTGCACCACTTCTTACTTTATTAACCCATTTTGTCCCATAGGGTTTTTATTATAACACTCTAGACCTGAAGATAGATTACTCAAGATCACATATTCTTAGAATAGAATGAATTAACCCTTTTGCCCCAGGAAGCTGCAAAGGTTACACTTTCAGTAGACTCCAGTTCCCTTTAAATACCACTTACCCAGAAATTTCTAAAATGGTGTGTTTACGCAACATCTAGTTTATGCCATTGGTTGTGTTAATGTCTGCTCAGCCTTTATGAGTCACCTAAAATGTATTGTTTTTAAAACCTCAATAAATGTATTTCATAAAGTGCTTTGCTTTGCTTGTGTTTGTTGACTACTTATTTTATAAATTCTTATGTATTTTAAAACAATCTTATGTTGCCAGAAATTTTTTTTATATGATTCATTCCTGGGAATTCACATTGGTTCGTGACCCATATTTTTAGTTTTTCTATATTTGGCTAATTCTGAAAGAGTTAAAGAGGGAATACAGTAAATAAAGGACCTGGTCACGCCATTGGTGTAATCGACAAATGGTGCTACACCCCTACTTTCTAATCCAATCGGCACTTAGTAGTGGATATAATCATTATCACACCTGCCACCTTTACTTCCCAGATTTCCTGGTTCCCATTTTAGGCTGAATGTTGAATGTTGGAACCATCATCACAACACTCAAAACATTGCCATGAGCTCTGCATCCCCATCTTCAGCAGCAAACACACGTTTCAATACCGATGGTACCAGTAACTGTTTGATTGTGTGTCCATCTCACATTATCCCTTGAATGTTGAGCAACGGCCAGATCCCCAGGTCACTCCTTGCAAAACCTTCCTTCAAAGACTGTAGTGATCTGTGTTTGGCGCCATACTCCTCACTCGCTCCCAGAAGACCCTACATCAGCTGGCTTATCATCTATCAGTATACCACTGAGTGGTTGCAGAACCAGCATTCTTATCTGCTTGTTAATTTCCCACCACACCTGCATGACCTGGAGAAAATATCCATTGGACATTTTAGCCTGAGTCAATTACATTTTCCTATTGCGAGCAAGTCTTGCTGATCACACTGACGTTGCCCTGCAGGGAGGGAGGTCACAAGGACATTTTCTGGTGGTGCATCAGGCAGATTGAAATTGAGTGCATTTGTACTAGTAATAGTCTGTTTTTTTTGTTAAATTGTTGAAAAAAATTTTTTTTTATCTTTTTATAAAACAGAAAGCCAAGGATGTTTTGTTCTGATGAGCCGTTTATTCATATACAGTAGAAAATTTATTGACATCTGCATTTAATTATAAATTAAGAACACATTCTAACCAAAACTTATCTTTATACTTTCTATTTCTCCAAGTTCTTGTTAATAGTGTTTAGTACTTTTCTGTTTGCCTTCCTCTTCTTAAGCACATTTTTTAAATGTTAGGGTGTTTTCTCATATTTTCACCATATTTTATGCCACCTAAAACAAAAATGTTGAAAACCACTGCTGCAGCACAGTGTGACACTATCATCTGGAGAGACCGAAAGGTGCAAACAAGTTCCAATAATATGGCCAGCAAGAAACTTTCCGTTTGGCATAACTAAAAAAGACAGCAAGAAAACTGAAAGTTGTACACACACCAGCAGTAGACTCATGATAAACCCTTTAATGAATTCTAATGAAAACTAGGGCACATTTTTTTTACCTAATCACTTTCTGCTACTCTATTTGCAGGCGGCTTCAGGGACCCGATTTCGTGGCCTGAAAGAGCAGACTGACCGCATGAAAGATAATGTTCTTAAACATCTACGCAAGACCAAAATACCAACCTCATTTAACGACAAGGCCATACTTTTAGCAAAGGAACAAGGCGCCAGGTTGTATCTTGACATGGAGCCTACGTTACGCAAGGACAAGCTTGAGGAACTGGTCAGATTTTTTAAGATACTTTTGAACATGCCTTTTTTTTTTTTTTTTTTTTTGCTAAAGCATTACTTTTTCTATAGCTGTAAACTTTGGAAAGGGGGTAGGGGGTTCTGGTTGTACATCCACTTCTGGAATTTGTTCTTCTTTTTCTCCCCCTTCTCCTCCTCTTCCATTTCTTCCTCTTCTTCTTCTTCTTCTTCTTCTTCTTCTTCTTCTTCTTCTTCTTCTTCTTCTTCTTCATAATGTTCACCAGCTGTAATCTCCAGTGCAAAGTTCTGGTTATTTATCCAATTCTGGACTGTGGTCTTGCTCCTTCTTCTTCTTCTTTCTTTTTCTTTTCATTTTCTTTTCTTTGCACTGCCGGTTGCAAACTCCGCTGAAAGTTCTGGTGTGTCATCCACCCGAGGCTTTTGGTCTTATTCCAGAATGTGAGTTTTGCTTGCACATCTGTTTTATAGGTCTGACTTATTTGTATTCAGACTATTGTTCCCTTGCCTCTCAACTTTGAAGGCAACATCCCTAATCAGTCATCTGTTACTGCATTCTTGTGTGTGAAAGGGGAAGGGGGGAGGGCCTAATTCTTATTACCACTTACCAAGTGATAATAAGCAGTCATGCTGACCACTTTGCTACTGCCGTCCCTCTTGATGCATGAAAGCTAGATGTTGCAAGGTCCCTTGGGAGCCACTGAACAGTGTGGAGACACAAATAGAACATCGTGGTCTGGGGAGAATAGTCAGGCAAGAAGTGACCAGGGGCTCTGGCTGATGCTCAGCACTCAAGGAAAAGGTGAGACGGATATACCATCAGTCTGTTACCAGTACCATTGGAATTGGAACTTTGCTGGCTGCTGAAGATGGGGATTAAAGTGTCCTAAGTAGTGTGATGTTGATTCTTGATTCAGCATTCAGAATTCAAGTCCATCTTAATTATCTTTAGGATGGTTAAATGTAAGAAGAATATGCATGCCCTGTTTCATCCCATAAGGGCTTATGGGCTTCATATGTAAAGTTAAGCTCAGTGAGTTAAGGTGAAGTAAAGTGAAGTCAAGTACAGTTGAGAAAACTAGAGTGAAGGACCCATGCCACACCTGTGGCCTATGATATGATGAGAGACTGACATGTGTCTAGACCAGCTGGCTCCCGATGGGTGATGTCAAAGTCACGATGTTACTTCACAAGACTTCTACCTATTGCCCATTTTAGGCTGGGTCATATTTAAGGATGACTTGATGCAGACTCAAACCCAAAACCTGCTGGCCAGCTAGTAACATTTATCAACTGTGCTACTGCTGCTGCTATTTATGGACCAGTAGTCCAATCAGTGAACTGACACCTGCATCTCCCAAGTGTAACATTTTTACATTGTCACTTTCAGGTGAAGAAACTAGACCTGGAACTCAAAGCAGAGATGGAGAACAAGGAATCAGTTGAGCATGAGTTGAGCCTGCTGGAGGCAGCAGAACAAAAAGCCCCAAGTTCAAAACGGAAATCAGAAATCAGGGCCCTAACAAACAAAATATTGAAATCTGTGGAAAAACAAGATGCCATGCGTCTGCTTATGCTGCAGTACTGTTCGGGTCTGCAGAACTGTATCAACTCCTTAGAAGCAGACGTGAATATCTTGAGAAGTAAATCAGAGTTTGAGAGAACTCAGACTCTGCCGAAGGAAAATGAACAAGCCAAGACTTCCCGTTCAGGTGCAGTCGGAGGGTTTGTGCGAAGGGCGAGTTCTTCGGTGAAGGAAAAGATGTCATTCATTAAGAAAGATTTCGGGAAGAAGGGGGTGAGGAGTGAAGAAGATGAAAAGAATTCCAGTTCAAAGAGTAACAACAACAGCGGTCTGGTTGTGATTGAAGAAGATTTTGTGACTTCTCTGCAGGACAGTTTGGAGGAGGTAAAATCTAGAAGTAAGGACAAAGAATATGTTGATAGTCTGACAGATACCGCAGACAGTACTGAGGTTAGAGAAGATTCTGGAATGGGGAAAATGCTGTCAGAAATTAGCGATGGTCCGCCAACAGCGAAGCAGCATCCACTGATTGAAATATGTGTAGATGAGGCAGATTTACCAGCAGCAAGGGAAGAAGCCTTAAATGACAGCTGTGATCCCAATGAACCAAACGTTCTTTCACAAATAGATTCAGGGGTTCCAAGATCTAGTTCAGATTCCAGGCTTGAGATGAGCAAAATGTTCAGCCTCCGACCAGAAGACATTCTCCGTTACCGCGGGACCTCCCTGCCGAGACTTCTAGCCAGTGACGATTCAGACTCGGAGTCAGATTACTTGGTGATTGATTCCAGCGACGAGCATGTTGTCACTGACAGCTCAGACAGTGAGAATGACCAGAATGTTGGCTTCAAAGATGGAAAGAACAAATCTCACACCCACGATGATGATGATGATGATGATGACCAGGGTCAGCACCGGAGCACAGTTCAACATTTGCAGACATTTCAAGTGTAGCAAAAACAATGTTTTAGCAATTATTTTAAGTTTCAACTCTTTCTGTCAAGAAACTTGCTGAACCTTTGTCCCAGTTAGGGCTGACATTAAGGAAGAAACTTTTGAGTGGAGGTAAAAAAAAAGATTTGGGTTACAGTAAAAGTAAATAGTTAAAGTGCGAGCTGGAACAGAAAGTGATTTGATTGATATTTAGAATAAACAGTGATATATCACACAGGGATGAAGACAAGAGCTGACTAATATATATATATATATATATATATATATATATATATATATATATATATATATATATATATATATATATATATATATATATATATATATATATATATATATATATATATATATATATATAAAATACATTTATTGGGAGCCATGTCACCATTGCCTGGGGCAGAAAAAGGTAAGTCACAGTTATCTGGGACAGTTGTAGAAAGTCACCAACGTCTGGGGCATACAAAGTTATAGTCATCATTGTCTGGGGCATGAAAAGGTAAGTCATCAATGCCTGGGGCATACAAAGTTATAGTCATCATTGTCTGGGGCATGAAAAGTTATAGTCATCATTGTCTGAGGCATACACAGTTATAGTCATCATTGTCTGGGGCATGAAAAGGTAAGTCATCAATGCCTGGGGCATACAAAGTTATAGTCATCATTGTCTGAGGCATACAAAGTTATAGTCATCATTGTCTGAGGCATACAAAGTTATAGTCATCATTGAGGCATACAAAGTTATAGTCATCATTGTCTGGGGCATACAAAGTTATAGTCATCATTGTCTGAGGCATACAAAGTGAAAGTCACTGTTGTTTGAAACAGCTGTGGTGAAATTTACTATTGTCTAGAATTGTTGTAGTGAAAGTCATCATTGTCAGGAGCAGTTGTAGTGAAAGTCATCATTTTCTGGAACTGTTGTAGTGAAAGTCCCATTGTCTGGAACTGTTGTAGTGAAAGTCATCATTGTCTGGAACTGTTGTAGTGAAAGTCATCATTGTCTGGAACTGTTGTAGTGAAAGTCATCATTGTCTGGAGCAGTTGAAGTGAAAGTCATCATTGTCTGGAACTGTTGTAGTGAAAGTCATCATTGTCTGGAACTGTTGTAATGAAAGTCATCATTGTCTGGAACTGTTGTAGTGAGAGTCATCATTGTCTGGAACTGTTGTAGTGAAAGTCATCATTGTCTGGAGCAGTTGAAGTGAAAGTCATCATTGTCTGGAACTGTTGTAGTGAAAGTCATCATTGTCTGCAACTGTTGTAATGAAAGTCATCATTGTCTGGAGCAGTTGTAGTGAAAGTCATCATTGTCTGGAGCAGTTGTAGTGAAAGTCATCATTGTCTGGAGCAGTTGTAGTGAAAGTCATCATTGTCTGGAGCAGTTGTAGTGAAAGTCATCATTGTCTGGAACTGTTGTAATGAAAGTCATCATTGTCTGGAACTGTTGTAGTGAAAGTCATCATTGTCTGGAACTGTTGTAATGAAAGTCATCATTGTCTGGAACTGTTGTAGTGAAAGTCATCATTGTCTGGAACTGTTGTAGTGAAAGTCACCATTGTCTGGAACTGTTGTAGTGAAAGTCATCATTGTCTGGAACTGTTGTAGTGAAAGTCATCATTGTTTGGAACTGTTGTAGTGAAAGTCATCATTGTCTGGAACTGTTGTAGTGAAAGTCATCATTGTCTGGAACTGTTGTAGTGAAAGTTATCATTATCTGGAACTGTTGTGAAAGTCATCATTGTCTGGAGCAGCAAGAGTTGCAGAATAACAGGGTTTGTTGATAAATTGCAATTAAAAATGTTATAATTTTTTTTCTTCTGTTTTCTTACATCTTCTTGTAGCTTTGTTTTTAAACTTTTCCTTCTTTTTAAAAAAAAAATGTGTTTCTTTATTTTTGCCCCAAACATTCCAGAATTTGTTGTCGTACGGATATATGTATTTTGAGAGATCTCAGTGCCATCCCACAGAAACATCTACAGCCTGTTGTGTGCAGTCATGTCAGAACTACAGAAGTGAACAGTGTTGTGGGTGTTGTTATGTCTTTCATCAATTTGTGAAGTGGTATTATGCATACATTTTGTCATGACTTGATGCCTGTTACATAGTTGAATTGCCTACTTTACGGGGTTTTGAGGCAAGCAAAGAATTATAACACCGCAGTGTAAAGTGAATATTGTAAGAAAGGATTAAGGAAGGTTACTTCGTCATTAGACTTGAGACATTTTTGTTTTGTTTTGTTGCTTGATTTTTTATGTTGCCACTTTTCCTGGATGCCTTGTACATCAAAGGCACCTTTATGCCTTGTTAACACATTTCCTAACTCTTAAGTGCCAAGTTTGATCCCGTGCTGTTTCTGAGCAGGCCGCTTTATGTTGCTTTCAACAGAGGCATCAAGCAGCGACCATTCAGCAAGACATGGCAAACTACTAAACATAAAATTGCCTAGTAAAATCACAAAACAGCAAAAATGTTTTGGGTGTTATGTCTGCAAGGTCCTATAAAGGAAACTGCTTTGCTGAAACTGCAGTCTGTTTTAGCTTTTCCACAAGGGAGAGTGATAGGCGCCCTGTGTTGTTGCTTCACTGGCATAGGGATGAAGTAGTCACATGCGACCCAACTGCCATCAAGTTGGAACTGCAACTGACTGATTGTTACACACAAGCAGTCTGGGTTCTAACCATCAGGGGACCATGTTATAACCTTAGGGTTGAAAGTGTTTCTGAGATGTTTACCTGGGGGGACTGAATGTAGACAAAAGTCAGTCAGTCTGTAAAAGGCCTGATATGATTAGGTGTGAGCTGCGACGTTATATGGTCTACATGCAGATATGTACATACGTTTATCATAGAGGATTACGTTACAGGCTGTTTCTGTTTGTTTATGTTTGAGATACACACATACATTTATCATAGTGGGTTATGTTACCGGCTTTTTCTGTTGTCTTGATTATTTGACGGATACACACATAATGAGTATCATAGTGGGTTACGTTACAGGCTGTTTATGTTGGCTCATTTGTTTGACATAAACACATACATGATTGTCATAGAGGGTTATGTTACAGGCTGTTTCTATTGGCTGGTATGTTTGACATAAGCACATATAAGAGTATCAATAGGTGTTATGTTATAACTGCTAGTTTCTGTTGGCCATATACATACCATGCAATGCTAACTGCTTGCTTCTCATATTTTTTCATTCCTTAACCATCATCACTTCTTTGTTTGGCTGTTACATTATTTAAACTTCCCTTTAAGTTCATATTTTCGCTATTTAATGTAAAATATATTTTTATATTGTAAATAACCACAGATGTTTAGTCTTCCGTTTTTGTCTTTTAATATTTGTTGAGGGTCTTTCATCTTTTCTGTTTCTTGATTATGTTTTTTTTTTAAATTTATAGTTGTATTTAATAATTATTAAAGCAAATGAGCCCCTGGAAATATCTGTGATAAGAAGAACAGGTTGTATTTCATGGAAATATCTGTAAACAGAAGAACATTTTGTATTTCATGGAAATAAATAGAGAGATTCTGCAGGTACTAGGAATAAAAAGAAATTGCTGAAGGAAGTAAAGAAGAGAGAAGTGAAAAATGTCTTCCATATTGCAGAGGCAGACAGCGATACAAGTGAGAGAGCAACACCAAGAGATGGATGAACAGCAGCCTGAAAGTGTACATCTAAGGTGAAAGACCAAATTGTGGAAATGATTGCAACCAATCTTCATTGTTGAGAGTGGCACCTGATTGATTGAACATGTACATTTCCATATTGACAGATGGTGACAGAGCTGGTACCCAACATAGGTTAGTCTGTCCCAACATAGGCTAGTCTGTCCCAACATAGCCTAGTCTGTCCCAACATAGGCTGGTCTGTCCCAACATAGGCTGGTCTGTCCCAACATAGGCTGGTCTGTCCCAACATAGGCTGGTCTGTCCCAACATAGTCTGGTCTGTCGCAACATAGGGTGGTCTGTCCCAACATAGGCTGGTCTGTCCCAACATAGGTTGGTCTGTCCCAACATAGGCTGGTCTGTCCCAACATAGGCTGGTCTGTCCCAACATAGGCTGGTCTGTCCCAACATAGGCTGGTCTGTCCCAACATAGGCTGGTCTGTCCCAACATAGGCTGGTCTGTCCCAACATAGGCTGGTCTGTCCCAACATAGGCTAGTCTGTCCCAACATAGGCTGGTCTGTCCCAACATAGGCTGGTCTGTCTTATAAGAACCTCCACAAATAACCAACAGACCAGCCATGTCTGCAGTGGTTAGTGGAAGAAGAAGTATGGATGGGGCAGACATATTGAATGCTCTGAATTCCAGTGATGTTGAGACAAAGAAGCCAGAGGCGATGAACTGTCTGTTGGAAATGGGTATTCAATGAGAACAAGCGTGCAGAAACTACTGGCAGTGCAAATAGAGAAGATATGCCAGTCAGTTCCTACTGGGTACGTTGAGCTTGGAGACACTGAGATGGCTGCAGCTTCAGAGGACGGAGCTTGAATAGGTTGCACCGATGTTTTAAGATGTCAGCGCAGATAACAAACAAACAAACAAAAGATTCCAACACAATAGAGGTTGGCAACAATGTGTATGTGCTTCCATTGCTGTTTTGGGGGATATTACATGTCGAGCTAGTCAGTCTTTCCATTTAGTTAGACTCTCAGACCAGCTGTCTCACAAGCTGCCAGGATGGCTTCTCTCTGTCTGTGTACTACCTGCCGTGGAAATAAGCTTTTGAACCTCAAGGATTGTGAAATGCATTCACTAAATCTAAGGCACAGGGTTGCCTAACAAGACTTACTTAGAGATCAGGCTTTAAAATGACACACTTGAGGGATAGGATTATTTTTCTTATGTAGAGAAACTTATATGATGCCGTGACACTGGAACCCACAGATTCAAAGGAATAAAAGTAGACCAAAAAAACACATGGACAGGAGAAATAGAGACTGAGGTGAAAAGGCAGGGAAAACAAGTGATAAGTTTCTTGCACAGGCTG